GCCCCCCAATGTGTTTTTAAGAAAATTTGTTTCCTCTAGGTTTCTGATGGATAAAGATAATTTTGCCTCAGAAAATGATGAGTCACAGGAGAACAGCAAGGAGCTGCAGCTGCCCCTCTCCTACTACTACATCGCGTCTTCACACAACACCTACCTCACAGGCCATCAGCTCAAAGGAGAATCCTCGGTAGAGCTCTACAGCCAGGTACAGAGGATGCCACTTGGAATCTGGACACCATTAAACCTATTTACATAACCCCCAAAGTCACAAAAACCTGACCTCCTTTGAAGGATTTATAAGCTGTTACATGTGAAATGTAACAAACAGGATATGGAAAAACTGCCTATATGCACAGTTGTGTTCTTTTTTCTCCCTCTATCTATATACTTAACTTTTATTCCAGTCCAAAAAAAGAAAAAAAAAAGAAAGATAGAAGAAGAAAGCATTTGTTTGAGACTCACAGTTTTTAGATGCTAGTTTGTCTGACCTATTCCAACTAAAATTAGATTTTCCCATGGGAAAATTATCTAATTGTTTCCCTAAATGCTAAATAAATCAATATATTATAGTGGGAAACCATGGCAGAAAATGCAACTTACAAAGTTATTCCCAAAATATTTTGTTTTGCTTTGCAATTTATTAGACAATCATTTCATCCCTATGGTAACCAACATAAGGAAAAAAATGTGAACAGACCATACACACTGGCCCTACACACTTAAATTCATGGGAATGTTCTTTGAAATTTAGTAGCTTCTCCGGACATCTTTTGAGTCAACATCCAGCTCTCAGTGATCTCCAGTCAGTCGCCTCTACTGTGTTTTCTGCAACTTCTTGTCTCTGCCACCTGTTCTCTGCATGCCTTCAAAAAGAGTTATCAGGAAGCAGCTGGGCTAGATATTGGGGATATAGTGTGTGGTTGTGAGTGTTTTTTGTCTATGCTGGGAGAGTTCTAAGTGGGGAAATTATAGTTGTATTGTTTACACAAACTCAGCAGGCTTGAGGCTCCTTTGTTTTCCAAATTTATGCAGGTATTTGTCAAAGCAGGGATCAGATTTCTGCCCCAAATCTTATCTAGTATGAATATGTATTATAACCGCTGAAATTTAAGTGACTGCTGTGATGAAATTAAAGTGTGTCCTTAAAGTAGTGTTTTCAAAATAGCAGTCTGCCATGGGGCATCAGCTGTGGACACAAAGTAAGATGCCAGTAGAGTGGGAAAGGTCCCAGCCCCGCCCGCTCTGCAGCTGAGTGCTGAGCCCTTCTGTCCGGTGCAGTCAGCCCTCCATCTACACAGCATGCAAGGCTAAAAGCTTGAGATCATTGTTCCAGAGGAAAGAGATAAAGTGTGTGTGCGCGTATCTGTTCTTGTTTCTCCTAGGACAACAAACAAGACCCGTGTCCTATTTCACTTCCTTTCTTCCCTTCCAAGTTTTTCTTAACTCTTTGGCATGACATACCAAGTGGAGATCATCACAGATTTTGAATAAGATACAAGCCCCGCCAAAGACTCGCAGAGAAAATTAGCCCCAGTGTAAGATCCCTTCTTCTTCACTTCTACCCATTCCTCTCTGCCCGCCCAGTTCCCTTCTCACATTACTCTGTAAGACAGATGAGAAGTGAGGAAAGTTCTGTCCTTGCCTGGTATTTCCAGCCCTGTTTCCTCTCTGGCCACTTATGCCATGTCCACCTCCATAAGTGAACCCTGAGAGGTAGAAGCAGGCGCTACATTTAATGTGAGGTTTGATCTGCATTTGCTCATGAGCACACAGGTTCTGCTGCAAGGCTGCCGGAGCGTGGAGCTGGACTGCTGGGACGGAGACGATGGGGTGCCTGTCATTTACCACGGGCACACGCTGACCACCAAGGTCCCCTTCAAGGTACTGCTGCCTGCCTCTCTTTCATCAGTTCGCAAAGAGCGATTACCTTCGTGCATCATCACTTAAAGGTCCTACCAAAAAGCATTTTAAGTTGAGGGTTCTCATCCTAAGTCTAAAAACTTGCCAGAAGTTCTTGCAGGATTGTGTAGGATATACTCATGTGCATATTTTCTAGATCAGAAGTTTGATCTAGACAGTTCTCATCTAGAACTCTCATTCGCTTCTCGCTCAACCAAAATGTAGTAACCATTATCTTAAATTAGTTAGCACTTAATAATAATGTTGCAATTTTTATACCATAAAATGGTACATAAAAGGCAAGGGCTGTTCCCTTGCTGTAGGAATTAAAGGTCATTTGTTCTGGTGTCCTGCTGAGAACGGCCAACATCATTTTTTTAGGAAATTGAATAATTAACATTATAAAGTAATGACAATTGATTTCACCTAGGAATCTTGGTCACCCAAGAGCACTGGTCATCCAAGAGTACTGGTCACCCAAAAATACTGGTCTTATTGGATTATTGATTCAAATCCTAAGTAGTTCTTTAGTTCAGTATATTCATTCAGAGGATTTTGGGTTACATACCATCATTTTCCCCTAAACTGTGGCAGGACTGGAAGTAATATTATTTCTATATTTTCTGTGGTGACTAAAGTGTATTTTTCTCTTTAACTCATTTTTTCTATTTAGCTCTTTTAAAATTCTTGTACTCATTAAAAGGAGGAGCTGATAACTGTGTTTATAAGCACACAGATATATTTATATGTTTTATTATATAAAAACCCAAGTTGATTATAAACCTTTTGTATTCAGAAAATATTATATATTATTTTGTTGCTATAACTAAAACAGTTTTTTTCATGGTGTATTCAATGTATACATGAATGTAAGTATGTATGTGTATGTTTGCACACTGAATTGTTAAATTCAGCACACTCATAGCTGTTCCTTCTAGTATGTAGACAAAACTGAATATGAAAAGTTTCATTTCTTTATAGAACATAGCATTGTCTTGTGCTTCCTTGGAAAATATATTTGTATAGATGAAAACCACCTTTGGCCAGAGGCTTCTGCACACAGCAATTTAGATGCTTGGCTGTAAGCTCCTTACTGGTGTCACCATGGACAGATGCGTGGACGCTAATGAGCTATTCTGGCTCTCCTAGGAGGTGGTGGAAGCCATCGATCGCAGTGCCTTCATCAACTCCGACCTGCCGATCATCATATCCATCGAGAACCACTGCTCTTTGCCTCAACAACGAAAAATGGCAGAAATTTTCAAGGTAAATGTTGAGCTAAAAGACATAATGATGATTGTTTGCAACCGTTGCTGAATTTTAGTTGGGCCCACATGGATCACACCACAGCCGAAGCTCAGCTCTGAAACAGATACAGTTAGGGTCCCTCAGACCCGAGTAGTGGGAGTGTCTTGGGAGCTTGAACAATCTCTTGAACAGGCCAGCTGGGAGGACAGAAACATTGTTCTGTGGTTTTCTGAATCTTTCCAGGAAGCCTGAGGAGATAAGATCAATGCTTCTGCTACCTGAAATCTGAGATGCCAGGATGACCTGTCAGTTGTATGTGTAAAAAGCTGAATATCTCAGGGGCTAATAAGTCGAATATCCTGTAATCCACACTGTAGATACACTGAACTAAGTTGAACTCACAGTTGCTGTTGACAGTTGCCCTTCTTTATACAAGGGGATGATGGTGTAGACGTTCATTCTACATCCACCTTCCTTCAGTGTTGGGGGCTTTTGTGGAAATATTACCTTCAATGGACTTTTAGGTTTTAGTTTTTCAGTATGTGGTTTTAAATACATGAGCTGATAAGGACACCTTATAAAGACACATGTGTCCGGATGGGAAAAGGCTGATGTCTCAATACCATGAGTGACATTAAGGTTTCTGTTGAAATTAGGTTAGACTATTTGAGGTGCTTCCTGATATTAATTAGTTTTTGAAAAGGTGATCTTTGATGTTTTTAACAAGTGAGTTTAAACTCTGTAAAAGCCTTCATTTGTAAGATTGCTTAACCTGGCCCTCCCTGGTGGTACAGCGGGTTGGATCGCTGCACTGCGAAGCTAAGCCAAGCGGTGGCAGCTTCAGTGCAAGTTTGATCCCCTACCCTCACCCCGAGGTGACCCACAGGGCACAGCAGACCTCTTCTGCTTGCCCGCTGCTCCCCTCAGCAGTATACCTTGTTGAACTGCCTGTTCTACTCCCCACTCTGTCTCTGGTGAATCCTCTGGCTGCCTCCTGCACCTCTGGCTATACCCCATTTCTGTATGCATAAATAAATAAATCTTAAAAAAAATTGTTTCAGTTTTCTGAGTGTGCATTTATCAGAGCTTTTATGTTAACAAGCATAAAATGTGAGAGGATTGATCTTAGTACCATTATTAATATGCAGTACAACATAAAGTACTGCCACACACTGTGGGCATAAAGTCAAAACTTTCCGGACATTCTTTAAAAAAAAAGACATAACAAAAGGACTGTGGCTTCATGATATAATGTGAAATCCTATGTGGTATAAAAGATTTTCATAGTCATGTTTCCCCAAATTATAAGATACTTCCAAGGAAAGCTTTATTTTTTGTGACGTTAACCACGGGGGTGATATCCTGCACCACACTGCACGCGTCTCAGTGAGCTTGAGGCAGACATGGCAATCGGGGGTTTCCTGTGTCCCTCAGGGACTTCCCCGGTGCACAGCACCTGGCTTATAGACCAGGGAGGCCACCATTTTCCATCTGTACTTTAATCACTAATTAAAAAATAACTAGAAATAGAAATTTCCCTCGTTTCTACCCTCACCCCAGTGGGTCAGCCTGTGTTCACCCCCACCACCCACCTCCTTGAAGGCCACACAGCTCACATTGGAGCCCAAAGCTCAGAGGTGGGGTGAGGGCTGCAGTTCTTCACTAAATGGAGATAGATGCTTCCTATTAGCCTTCAGCTTTGTTACCCCCTCCCACTACTTATTCAAAGCTCCAAGCTTTTGACTTTTCATCCACATGAGGAAGGACCACATTCCTCAAACAGTGGCCTCTAACTGAATGTCCGCCTTCTTTAGCACACCAGGCCCCAGAGTGTTCCCCTACATGGTTCAAGCTGGCCCATGTGCACAGTGGCCTGGACCCCCTCTCCTGTCCTTCTAAACTCCTCCCTCCCTTCTAGAAGGAAACTGCAGTTTCTAGAGGGAGAGGACACAACTTCTTTCCTAGTTTCTCTTTGGATTTTTAGAATAATTCAGTTGGGCTGGAATGTATCATTGAATAATTCAAGTATAAGTAAAAAGCATTGATGATATGTTTTCCTTTGTTCTTTTTAGACTGTGTTTGGAGAAAAACTGGTCGCTAAATTCTTATTTGAGAGTGATTTCTCAGATGACCCAATGCTCCCTTCACCTGACCAACTCAGGAGGAAAGTGCTTCTTAAAAATAAGAAGCTAAAAGCCCATCAGACACCTGTGGATATCTTAAAGCAAAAGGTACTCCCTTGTCTAGGAGGTTGGGCACATTCTGTGTGCCCAGAGCAAAGAAATTAACATCATTCTAACCTGCCAGGTAACCTGCTGGCTTACCAGCATTTAAAGATTGCAGGTCCTTGAATGATACATTTAATTTTTGACTTTTCTTCTTTTTTCATATATATATATATTTTACTTTACTTACATCATCAGCTTGTTATAAGGCATGTAACTCAGGAAAAGCCAAAGGGAAGATACACAAAGGTATGGGGGCAGGGAGGTACAGTGGGTGGAGAGCTTCTGTGTCCTCTCTGGACAAGCAGGCCCCACAGGAACATCCGTGTGTTCATCATCCTGGGAGGTCCAAACATCTTGTCCTTCGTTCAAGTATTTATTTCTTCTTACCTTTCTTTTTCATGGTATTAATTTTTAGATAACATTGGTTTACTACAGTGTATGTGATTTAGGGGTATAAGTTTATACCTCTTCAGATATATTTTACACACTACACCCACCTAACACCAAAGCACCCATCAGCCTCCACCACAGCCCATTAGACCCTCTCCCCACTTTGCTTCCCACCCTTTCTTTCCCCACTGATGTTGGCTTCCTATTTAATAGACCAGTAAATATTCTCATCCCATCCCACTTACCAAAAAAATTTTTTTATGAATTTCACTTTACATGGAAAATGTACCTCTGATACAATTTATTCTAGGCAGGATAATGTGTGATCTTATCTCTGGACTTGGCTTCAAGGTGACCAATCCCCATATTGCTTGAAAAAGAACTCACTTTAGGGGAGGCCCTTGGACATGGGGCTGTGACGCCTGAAGTCAGTAATGGGACTCTGACAGTAGCAGCCCTGTGGAACCAGCATGGCAGCGGACACAGTGAGTCACTGTGGCCTGTGAACCCCGAAACACTCCCACACCCACTTCACCTTTGGAGGTTTGTGCCCCGGGCACCACAAACCTGCCTGTTGAGGGGGACCTTCAGCCCAAGGATCCCTGAAAACATGAACAGCCAGGGCCATTGTGTCCGTAAGTCCGATTGCTCACTTATCCCACAGAATGGCAGCTGCCTAAGCTATTTAGGGGGGAACTTACCCATATCTGAAGTACATTTGTTCCTCAACTGGGGTCTTGTTTTCCTGCCTTAGAATAAATTGGTTATTGCAGAGGATAAGGATGTCAGCACCCACCTGCCCGTGTGGCCCTCTCGTGTTCTTCCTGCACTGATAGGAATATTTAAGCATCTGAGGGACTTGCTACTCCGCTTTCTGACACTACTGGTCCATGGGTCTTTGCAGGGACCTCATACAATCTGATACTTTCTACCAGGCCCTTTGCACCGCCATTCCCAGCCCTCAGCTCTACCTTGAATGCATAATGTATAAAGGCCCTTCTTTCACACATGATCAATAGACTTGTCTGCTTTTGCTGAGCAAATTTCCCAAAATTTTAAAGAACACTAATCCTATGAGACATGCTGGAAAAAGAAAAAAAAAAAGTTCCCAGGTTAAATAAGCCTGGGAAATGCTGCACTAGAGAGCTTTGAAGACTGCACTTGAGAATATTAAATGAAGAGTGTGTGACACCCTATAGCTGGAACGAGTTTCAGTTGTTCAGGCTGCTGTTTGTGGTTTTGTAGCTACTGTTAACTGTCAGGTTTTACATCATAGCTACTAACACCCATTGTGCCCCACAGTGGGGCTCCCTAAACCCCATTTGAGAAATCCCAGCCTGAACAATTTCAGATATCGAGCATGTACTACTTAATAAGATACTTTATCTGTATGTAGACCTTTCTGTGTATACCTGTTTAACTAACCTTGGTAATATCCACAAATAGAATTCAGGAAGGTTCATGAATTCAGATGGGAAAGAGAATAATGTTCATTTTACTAACTTCGAGTCCTGTGAGACCACCTCACAGTAATTCTGGTTGACTGAGAGGTACACGATCTCCTTAGCAGCACACATCAAGTTTCCCAAGTTTCTAGCCTGTTTTGTTTATCTAATTGAGGATTTAGATAAAGTCTGGTGAAGAAGCTTTATTTAAGCCAACAACTATTCTTTTGGTCTCTCTGTCCGTAGGGATCTCAGCATTTTTTTCTCAAAGTCAAATATTTAGATATTATTTTTAAGAAGGGGCAGGGTGGGGGGCAGGGGAGATGGCTTCTTAACAGATTTACTTTTCCAGAACTGATGGGCTAATTTACTCCATCGGTCTTTTGGAAACCCCCATCAAGGTTTCTCCTGCAGGGTTTGCCCCAGGAACATTTGTGACTGGTCCACACACGGGGTCCTTGTAATTGTTTCTAAAGTCCCAGGATTCCTCCTGCTGAGGTATTAGCATTTATCCAAGTATTAACATTGCACTTTAAGAGAATCTAGGTTTTTGTTTCCTTTCTCAGAATAATCAAAGCACATTAAACACTATGAATGACTGTGGGAAGTATGAAGTGGTTATTTTGAAGACTGTAAATGAAAGTTCAGTAACTTGCCATCCGCAGTCTTTAATTATTCACATCTTCCAGGCTCATCAGTTGGCATCCATGCAAGCTCAGGCCTACAATGGGGGGAATGCCACTTCTGCACCTGCCAATAACGAGGAAGAGGAAGATGAAGAAGATGAATATGATTATGACTACGAATCCCTCTCTGATGGTAAGAGAAACAAAAACCGAGGCTGTACATAGGGAAATGCCTGGATGATTTTCTGTTGGGTTTAGTGTGGTGTTTTGTTTTTGTTTGTTTGTTTGGTGTCCTTTTTCCCCCAGAAAATAAGCCTAGTACTGCATAGACCAACCATACAAATCACTGTAATGTTACCTAAGAGTTTCTGAGCCCTGCCACTTAGTGAAGAGGACCAAGCAAAGAGCTTCTGTCAGTCAAGCTACCATCACTCAAGGAAAGAAGAGAAAGGTGGAGGAAGCAACACTGGGGTCATCCCTAAGTGGGTTTCTAGAGAAAGAGGTGGGATTACAGCCAAGGGTCTCCACCCTCAACCTCTGTCTCTGTGCTGGTAGATGCTCTTGATAGGAATCAGTCTGTGTTGAATCTTGTCTCCATGCACTACCAGCAGGGGGCGGCATCACGGCTGCTTTCTGGGCATGTGGAAGAGAAAGCTGCTTCATAGCCCTGCCCACCTTCCCTAGGCTCTCACATTACAAAAGCATCAAGACATTTCCGTTGGACTGCTCTAAAGGGATAAAACGTTGGTGATGGCTCATGATACAATATCAAATGTCCCTGAATGATCTGTAGGTGAAGAATTAGGTTTCAGGTATTCCTTTTGCACTCAATTAATGTCATTTGTTAGAGACTATGAAATGTTTCCTTAGGAACCACTGCTGACGATAAACTGTCTCGTAAATTCCTGGAAAACAGCAATGTAGTAATGAAAAAATGTCAGATTTCCTATTTGCAAAAACATTATTTATATAATGCATTGCTTCAATGTAGGATAATTGGGCAATAAACAGATATGCCCAGACCAGCATCCATTTCCCACTGGCATCATGTCAGCCAAGCCACTCCCCCAGATACCTGCTCCCCAGCTGCAGGATTGCCCACTGGCTTCCTTGAGCTGCCTTCATGGCCCACAGTTATAGTCCAGCCCATTTCTGCCCCACAATTATGCTACTAATCTATGTCCCTTAATATTTGTCCTTAGTAGTAACTGTTTCATGTTATCCACTCAAAGCTAATTTACTTGACCTGAAATCCCATCAGATAATACTCAGGATCTATTCTCTAATGGAGAGGTAAAAGAAACTCAGAAGTCAATTTCTTATATCCTATTCCTCAACTTGTGAGACTATGAATATTTTTATGTTGACTTATTCTTCCCCATGGATTTGATACAGTCATGATGACTTCATCTCACAGACAAATTTATTTAGATAAGAAAGGGAAAGCACACTTGAGAAATCAACCAATGCAGATGTTATTTGCCCTATAAGAAGTTAGTCCAGTGGAAAGTAAATTCCTGTCCTAAATTACTCCTTTTTTCTGTACCTTTGAAAGCAGGAAAAATGAGTTTTTTTCCCTTAATTTTTAGAATTAATATTAATACTAATTGTTGATGTCTTCGATGTGAAAACCTGAATGAACAGGAGCTTTCTGATTTTTTTTAAAGATTTATTTATTTATACTTACAGGACTGGTGTACAGGCCAGAGGTGTGGTGGGTGAGAGGATTCACCAGAGACAGAGTGGGGAGCAGAACAGGCAGATTGACAAAGTGCACTGCTGAGGGGAGCAGCGGGCTGGTCAGGAGAGGTCTGCCACGCCATGTGGGTCAGCTCCCTGGCCAGGGATCGAACTCATGCTGCAGTGGCTTTGGAGAGCTTCATAATGCAGTGCTTTAGCCCACTGCACCACAGGGAGAACCCGCTTTCTGATTTTTAATTAGGAGAATAAGATTTGAACACCACCCACTGAGCTTCTAAGATGCTTACCTGCTCTTTGAAAATCCTCATAGACTAGATGGTAAGGAACGCCACCAGGCTCTGCTCCAAGGACCTAGGGCAACTTGGGTCCTGTCCTGTCAGCCACCAACCTTGGGCCCCTGGGGTGTGTAATGAAAGTCTGCTGCGTGTTGGCTGGAGGGTTCCCTTCTTGCATGAAGATAGATGAGCTGTGCTGTCGGTCGTGCTTGGTGGTACCTCACTCCGCTTTGTGCCTTCCTCTGTGATCTTTGCTCTTTCCAGCTGACATGAGAAAAGAGAAACCTGACTGCTCTAAGCAGAACCTCTTCCAGCTTCACAGGAGGACCTCAAATTTTTCTAAATGCCGGGTATTGACGGGTCCCTTTGAGAATTAGATAGAAGCTGTAACTGTTATGGAGCAGCTCAGTGTGAGCTGGGCCGCAGGTCTGTGGGTCCCCACCCACACGCTTAAAATTCAATTGTTCTGCAGGAACACACAAAAAGGGTCAATAATGGGTTTATTTACAAAGAGAAAGAAAAAGGAACAACCCAGGGGAGGAAAGAGAGAGATAACAAGTTAACTAGAGTGTCCTACCAGTTCTGCTGACTTGGACCCCAACAGCACACTGAAAGCTCATCAAGACCCAAACGACCAGCACCAGCCACAAGGCCAAGGGGAAGAGAGAGCCAACATGGGTCCTTGCAGTCCTCCCTTTGGTGTTTCAGTGACTGGAGCAGGGAGTGGAGTACATAAAACTCTGCAGAGTTCCTTCAGGACATCTTTTCCCCTTAACATAACCAGTCCCCTCTGAGAAATAGAGAGGTTCTCAAAATTCTGCTTATAACTGCAAGAGTTTCCCAGGCTTCTGAGGCCCTCTCGGGCCTCCCAGTTGAGAACCCACTTCCAAGTTGCCCAGTTGATCTCTGTGACAGTTAAATCCTCAGTTTTTATATGTATAAATTTGAGAATTAGTCTAATGCCACATTTGGCCATAAAAATTATAATGATTTCCATCCATAAGGTTACTTCCAGAAGATCTACTGATAAATGATGTTACACATTAGGCTAATTACTGCCCTGCCTTTTGGTCAATGCATTTTTTTTTGTTTGTTTGTCTGTTTTAGGTTTATTTATTTTTATGCATACAGAACTGGGGTGTACAGGCCAGAGGTGCAGGGGGCAGGGGGTAAGAGGATTCACCAGAGTCAGAGTAGGGAACAGAACAGGCAGATGTATTGAAATACACTGCTGAGGGGAGCAGCAGGCAGGTCAGCAGAGGTCTGCCATGCCATGTGGATCACCTCCCTGGCCAGGGATGGAACTCATGCTGCAGTGGCTGCAGACAGCTTCATAGTGCTGTTCTTTAATCTGTTGTGCCACCAGGGAGGGCCCTGGTCAATGAGTTCTTTATTTCATGACGTAAATCTAGGTTAATTTTTCTACAGCCTTGCTGCTTATCTTGACTAGCTTTGAACATACAACAGAGCAACAGATTAGAACTTGCAATATAGGCATATTCTATGACAGTGACTGCATGATTCTAACAAATTAATCAATTTCTCTCCATATTGGAACCTGGAATAGGCAATGTGGATGTGGCAGCTTGACTAACATCCACAGCATTTGCGTTTTGGTTACTGGTAGCCCTCATGGATCATACTAGTCAAAATCGTAATTCAGTAGAAGATTTCTTACTTCATTTATCTTGTAACCTAAGCTGTTGTTGTTTATGCTTTGCTTCAGATCTTCATTTAATTTTCCTAGCTTTCTGTCTTAATTCTCCTTACTCTTCTCTCCTTTCTGATTCTGTTTTTTTGTAACAGATGTCCTTACTGCTTCTCCTGCTGCTAACAGTCAGGAAGGTAAAGCCTTTTGTACTGAGCATTTTAACTGCATGGAATGTCAGAATTCTATTTCCAATTTCTTAGGACTGACTTGCATGAATTTGTGCTTTATATGAATAAAATATCTCAAAATAGCTGATGTCTTTGACTTCTTAGCAACCTGCATGGCCCTAATTTATTTTAATATTTTGGTCTAAGCATTTGTGGTCTGATGAGATCGTAAGTCTTGGGTGAGAAATGAATTTCTCTGCTTTTCATTTTAAAAATACATAATCATGGTAATTATGATAATCATCCAGCATCTTTATAAATGTTTTGAATAAAAGAGCCAAAATAAAAGCCAAGTATAAAGTTACCTACCATACTTTAGTTTTAAATATGTTTTAACGCCAGTCCTTAAGGTTTTCACATAATTAATTATAAACATTCATGAAAACTTTATTTTCCAATTAGTTATAATTATGAAAACATTGCACTGCAAGTAACAGTCCTTATCCTTCTGTTCTGGATATTTTTAAAAGTGAAAGAAAGTAATAACTTCATTTTAAAGTGAGAGTTAGTTAAGACATGCGTTTGCCATTTAAAAGTGCTTCAGCCACTAAGTCCTTCCCAAACCTGGGTGCTGGGAGTGTGTTGATACAGGGTATTTTCCACAGTGTTTGCACAGTTCAAACCAGTAGTGTAAAATGGACTTTCTCATTTAGATCATGTCTAATATGGCACAAAAACTACTGGTAATGGAGTCTATTCAATAAAAACAAACACATCATTTCACAACTTAAAAAAAAAATCCCATTCAATCCTTCATTCTGGAAACATGCAGCTGAAGCCTCAGCTTGGTAGCCAGCATAGTCCCCGGATGTCTTTGAAATGATGTAGACATAGCCCTTATGCGGTATTTGGTTCTTGTGCACTGAAGCCTGCCAACTCACTTTCAGACAACATTCTGGAAGACAGACCTGAAAATAAATCATGCAATGACAAGCTTCAGTTTGAGTATAATGAAGAAATTCCCAAGAGGATAAAGAAAGCAGATACTTCTGTTTACAATAAAGGAAAGGTGAGTGAATCGTTTCTGTTTCACTACACGTGAAAGGTGCTACTCTTCTCAGTTTCAGATGGGGTTTCACACCCTCCTTGTCCCAGCCCTTCACCTTTCCCCTCACTTTCCATTAGATGCCAAAGCCCACATGGTGATGCTATGGGACACCCACCTGCCTCCTATAGAAGGTTAGTCACAAATTCCTCCAACCCATCTCCACTGAAAGTGCATGGGTGGGTCACTGGTGGATTTCTCACCTGCCAGTTCCCAGGTGCAGGTGTGGCAAGCACTGAGGGGCACAGGAGGTGACTTGATGTGGACAGTGCTTCCACATTAGTACGAGTAGCAGTGACTATATGGTATTACCAGAGGAGAAGGGATGATGATGTTGGAAAAGGAAAATGACCAGGCAGACAAAAACAGAGCATTCAGGCCAACAGTACTGCCTGGTACTTTCACGGAATTATGAAGGGTTGTCATGCCATTTGGGATGCCCAAAATATAAAAAAGGGCTAGATTGTGATAGAGGAATGGCAATAAAAACAAGACACCCAGACTTTCCCCTCCAGTGCCTCACTATATTCAGACCCTAAAAAAAAATCTACCAACGTAGAGTGGCATTACTGGAGAAGAAACTAATAAAGTAGGTCACAACTTTGAGCCGCAGAAAATACATACTTAGTCATTTATTACTCAGCAAATGTACATTGACTGTTCCACATAGAAGACACTGGGCTGGGCCCTGGTGGGAGGAGAAGGGTGAATTTGATGCATCCTTTGCACTCAGAATACTTGAGGGAAAATGCTAGAGTGTGTATAAGGATAAATGCAGAGGAAGGTGAAATACCCTGGTGATAAAGAGCTTTGGGGATTCAGAAGTAGGTGGCTTATACCTTCCAAGTGAAAGGGTCTCATTTTTCCCTTCATAGGTTTATGACATGGAATTGGGAGAAGAATTTTATCTCCCACAGAATAAAAAGGAAAGCAGACAGATTGCACCAGAGCTTTCTGACCTTGTCATTTATTGCCAAGCAGTGAAATTTCCAGGTAAGAGTACTTGATACCATCTATAACATTTAAAGACACCAAAAGGTAAAAATGTATTATTGAGCATTGTGAATGCTTTCAAAGCAATTACATTGTTACTGAGCCCATTGTTAGTATGTCTTCTAAAAATTTACTATTATTAGGGCCCTCCCTGGTGGCCCAGCAGATTAAAGCACAGCACAAAGACGCTTAAACCACTTCCGCATGAGTTCGATTCCCACCTGCCCCGGAGGTGACCACATGGAGTGGCAGATCTCTCCTGACCTGCCTGCTGCTCCCCTCAGCAGTGTACTTCGTCGATCTGCCTGTTCTGCTCCCCACTCTGTCTCTGGTGAATCCTCTCGCCCACCACACCTCTGGCCTATACCCCAGTTCTGTACGAATAAATAAATCTTTAAAAAAAAATTTACTATTATTATTAGCTTTGATGTGCATGAGGAAAGCATCATAAATTGTTCAGTTTCCAGATCACATTTCATAACAGTTAACAATAACAATATGTTATCATTGAAATTATCTATGATGACAATATCAAATAGCTGCAATTTTTTTTTAAGATTTATTTACTTGTGCATACAGAACTGGGGAACAGGCCAGAGGCTCAGGGGCGGCGAGAGGTTTCACCAGAGACAGAGTGGGGAACAGAACAGGCAGATCGAAGAAGTACGCTGCTGAGGGGAGCAGCGGGCGGGTCAGCAGAGGTCTGCCACGCCATGTGGTCACCTCCGGGGCAGGTGGGAATCGAACTCATGAGGAAGTGGCTTTAGCTTCTCAGTGCTGTGCTTTAATCTGCTGCTGCGCCACCAGGGAGGGCCCAAGTAGCTGCAATTTACTAAGCTTTTAAGTACCATAATTTATATTATTTTAATACCCTCATAACTATTGAATGAAGTAAGTAGATTTATCCCCATTTTTAAATAAAGTCTGAGAGAGATGCAGCAATTTGCCTAACGTTTCAGAGTTATCCGTGAAGAGTTTTTTCTTTGAAAGTAACAGACATTGACTTGAGCAAACAGGAGCTTTACTAGCTCATGTATTGAAATGAAGGGACTCACAAGTTTCAGGTACAGCTTGATCTAGGAGTTTCTGTCCATTTCTCCCTTTGCTTCCACTCTGTTGGCCCCCATCCCCTTTGTGATCACAAAATGGTCCAACTGGCTGGTACTATATGATTTTCTGTTTTCTCCCCTAAATTTAAACTTCAGGCAGCAACATGGCTAGCAAATTCTAGTCATAAATGCAAGAACCTAGTGTATAGGTTGATTTTCACAGATGGTGACATTCTGTCACATAAGCACAATATAATCATGTTTGAGCTGGTGAAATTGTTCTTAGGATGTGGTGAAATCCTCATCCTGTCAAGCAGCCTCAGGGCTATGTGGCCTCTGCCTTGTGTGAGGGCCTCTCTGCCCCCAGAACCCTGCTCTCTGCATCTCTTATTCTTTACCAATTCAGCCAACACTACAACCAAGTCAGTCTACTGGCTTTGTCTTTCCTTCTCAAGCCCTAACGCAATAAAGAGCATAGATCCTGGGTCTCCCTAGTGATGCAGAGTTAAAGTTTCAGTGCTGTCAAGCTCTCTCCAGCCACTGCAACATGAGTTCAATCCCCCACCAGGGACCTGACCCACATGGTGCAGCAGACCTCTCCTCTCTCACCTGTTGCTGTCTCACGTGCTGCTCCTGTCAGCAGTGTATTTCAGTGCATCTGCCTGTCCTGCTCCCCACTCTGTCTCTGATGAATCCTCTCACTATCCCATACCTCTGGACTAGACCCAAGTTGTTGTAGTAAATAAGATAAATAAATAAATCTTTTAAAAAAATAACAGAGATACTCCAAAATAGTTGAAGTCAGTGTGAAAGATAGAGTTTCTATATCAATAAGAATTATGAAAGAGACAAGAGGTCACTGAGTCCAGTTTCTAACGTAAGGTACAAACTAAGCATGGGGTTGTTTGGCTTATTTTTAAAATGCCAAGTGTGTTTTTTAACTGTTTATATTGCATACATTCTTTATAGGCATACGATGTTTTAATTTGCTTAAATAATTGACGTTTCTCACATTTTCCCCCAACTTTTATTTCTTTCTCAAAATAGTTAAATTTCATTGCCAGAATCTTCAGGGCACTTTTATAATAGCATGTAAAAATATATTGTTATTTTGACTTATCTGATGCTCATGAGGAAAATACTGTAAAATGTTCATTTTGCTACACTATTAATTTTAATTTTGCTACTTTTTCAATTTCAATGCATCGCATCCTTCCCCATTCCAAATCACTTCCAAGGAGCCATATGCAAACAATTCTTAAGAATTGGGAGGTACCATGAAGGTCATACGGTACCACCTTCCCCAGAAGTAAAATACCTTCTCCAAAGTCATGAACCTGCTTCAGTTCAGGGCTCAGCTCCTCAGTGACTTGGACTAGGACTCTGACCCAATGCCTCTGCACTTGGATTCCTTACCTGTAAAGGAGGCATAGCAGTGCTGTCTTACAGGATTGTAAAATTTAGCAATGAAATATATAATATGATTAATACACTATTTAGAAAGACGTTGATTCTCTGGAAACAGTAATTGTTGTCTACCATAAGTGAGCCAGCAGGGCAGAGGAAGGTTCTTTGTTTTACTAATTAAAGTTCCTTACCTTTTCCATTACATATATTTCAGCTATTTCTCTGTCCCTCTCCCACAACTCAGAGTCCACCCCATCTCTAGGCCACACAGCACTCATGGTCTTTCTTCCTCCCCCAGCCATGCTCTGCACAGAGGGGCCCATGCACCTCAGGCTGCCTACATCCACCACACTATGTACAAAGCCCCAAGTGAACACAGCACTCCCTCTGTTTTGCTTAGGAGAAAATCCATTGTTGAAGTATTGTGTAGAGAGATGTTCACATAAAATGTTTAGATGAAGCAAGGAAACTCAGCTGTCCGTGAGTGCATCTTTGTGGCTGTGGATACTTAAGAGAAAATTTAGAAACCCCACAGCTCCTACAGACTGAGCAAACATGCCAGTCATGCCAAAACATGATAAACAATAGATGATTGATTGATTGAAACGGGTTTCAACCCTAGAGTCTGCATTCTTATTGCACACTTTTTTCCTGTCTTCTCGGATGATGTTTTTAGAAGGTGTATTTTCCCCTCCAAGGGACCGCCTGAATGCTGCTTGGGCTGAAGCAGTTACCCTGTAACGGCACTGGCCATTGTAGACAGTGGGAACAATTTGGAGGCAACTCGGGTTTCAGCTGGTGCTTTAAATCCCTCCTGCGCTGGAGCTGGGTCTTCGTCATGTGTCTTGTTCCCTCATTCAGCAAGTGTCTCTGTGCAAGGAAGGAAGGTTCTAGGTAGTGACTGAACCAAGAGTGAGAAAGAGAAGCCGTGCTCTCTCTGTCACACTCATCATCATACTTTCCCCATTCAGTCCTCAGATGACCCTGTAAGTTCCTCTAACCACCCCTGTTTTAGATGAGGAAACTGAGGAACAGAAGGTAGATGGCTGAATTAAACCAGACAATGTAATGTTCAAGCTCAGGCCCCTATTTGTTCTTTCATCTCCCCAGATTGAGTACTTAGGTCGTAATGGTTAAATATTGGCTGCAGCACTTTCTTTTCTTGTAATTGTTCAGTGTTCCTGGTGCACAATCAAGCAGACAGTGTGATTCCATGGTCATTCTGTAACAGCCTCACAGTTCTTGTCATCTTTGCCTACAGACTAGGAAGTCGGCTGTCAGTGCCTGCAATACTGTTATTAAAGGTGCTGAAATGCTAGTAGATCTTCTGTACTAGGTTACGTGGGAGTAGTAGGACTTTAAAGTAAACATTAAAAAGGATGGAAAATGTTGAGTTCCCTGGCTTGTAGTTTTGGCTTATTTATTTTTATTTTATGGGAACAGGCCTGTCAACTCTAAACGCATCTGGCTCTAACAGAGGAAAAGAAAGGAAAAGCAGGAAGTCCATTTTTGGCAACAATCCGGGCAGAATGAGCCCAGGGGAGACAGCATCATTTAACAAAACATCTGGAAAAAGTAAAGTTACCTTCTGACAATATCTTTGTTGATTCTGCACGCAGGGTGTTCTGATATTTTACTCTAATATGCACATGCCTTCAACTTCGTAATTATTGTTTTATTTTCATGAATGTTCATATTAACTAGGTGTCATATCCTTTCAACTTCTTAATAAAAATATAACACTTCACTGAAGATGTCCTAGCAGTGTTTGCCACAGAAGTAAAAACTGGAGCCACCTGGAACACGCTAGTGGTTCTTGGAACCTCCCTCTTCACCATTATAACTCAGGAAGATACAGCCATATTATTCCTGATTTTTATTATAAAAGTAATAAATTCTCATAGTTAAAAACTCAAATAATACGGGGTATTATTAAAATTCCTTTCCACTCTCAGTGTCCCAGCCCAACTCTCTAGAGGTAACCACTGTTAAATTTATTATGTTTTGTTTCAGAAAAATAAATCCTTTTTAAGGTAATCCAAATGAGTTATAACTGAATATACTTGTATAACTTGCTGTAACTTCACACAGCTTTCTGCATACATATCCCCTTATTCTCCTGGATGCCCCTGGGACATGCCCTTATATGGCTACGCTGTCATTCATTTAACTGTTGGCTAACTTGGTAGAATGTTTGGGTTGTTTCCTGGGTTTTGGGCACTTTTTGTTTTTGCTATTAAAAAAAAAAAAACTGCTGGAAGGGCCTCCCTGGTTAGTGGCACAAGGGGTTAAAGCGCAGCACTGTGAAGCTGTCTATAGCCACTGCAGCTTGAGTTAGGACATTGGCCAGGGAGCAGACCCACATGGTGCAGCAGAACTCTCCCGTCTCACCCACAGCTCCCCTCAGCAGTGTGTTTCAGTAGATCCACCTGTTCTGTTCCCCACTCTGTCTCTGGTGAGTTGATTCCACCCCCTACACCTCTGGCCTATACCCCAGTTCTTGTATATGTAAATAAATAGATCTTTTTTATCTTTTTTAAAAAAACTGCTAGAAATGACCCCGCTTGTACCTATACCCTTGTGTGTTTGTGCAGATACAGGCACAGGCCAGGTGAAGTGCTACAGGGACGTTCCATTCTGTCAGTGTTTCTCCACTCATTTTACAACTCAGTAGCTATCATTTTGTTTCAAGGTGGAGGCCTAACTGTCTAGGCGTCCTCTGAGGAGTGTTGCCATGTGTTGTGATTGTGTACTGGAATGTTTTGGGGTGTATCTTTCTAAAGCATTTAGTTTCTGCACTAATCTGAGGCTACTCTTTTGGGGGGTTTAGGTTCCTGTGAAGGAATGCGACAGGCCTGGGAGGAATCTTCTTCCCCGCTCAACCCAACCACGTCCCTCAGCGCTATCATTAGAACTCCCAAATGTTACCATATCTCATCGCTGAATGAAAATGCCGCCAAGCGTCTGTGCCGCAGGTATTCTCAGAAACTGATCCAGCACACCGCCTGCCAGCTGCTGAGAACCTACCCAGCCGCCACCCGCATCGACTCCTCCAACCCCAACCCCCTCATGTTCTGGCTCCATGGGATACAGCTCGTGGCTCTCAACTACCAGACAGATGGTAATGGGCCAGGGTGCAGCCTCACCTCCCTTTTGCACCTGATAGTCAGTAATATGGTCAGATGAGCATGTTTTTAAAGGGACAAGGATGCCCACCCCTGCCCCAAGTGAGGGGGAAATGCAGATGCAGAGAACAGAAGTGAATGAGATACTGGGGTGTGTGTGTCCTTGTGTTTCAGCTAAGGGGACAGAAAAGAACCTTGAGACCCCCCCCACCCCCAGTATCATTGACCCCTTTTTAGAGCACTTTTTAAACTTGAGACGGCTCTCCATAGAGCTGTGTTCAGTTTGCTTTTAAAGGCCTTTCAGGACAGAGATTTCCTAACCCCCCTAAGTCAGCCGTCTTGCTGTGCTATTGTTCTCACAGTCAAAAGCTGGGTTGCTCCTGAACAGAGTAAATGAAAACTATTTTGGCTTCTCATTCTTCTGAGGCTGATGTGGGATTAGCAGTCAATTGCTGTGAGTAGTTAGCGCAAAGGCAGTGGGTGTGTTAGTGACTTGGGCAGGGGAAATAGAGTCCCCGGCTTTTCCACTGTGGGACTCATAACAATCATAACCAATGAGCCCAGGCCCCCAAAGGGACAGCCCAGCACTGTCACCTGTCATCATATTCGCAGCAAGCCCAAGGCGTGAGTGCCTTTATGATCCCCATTTCTCCGGCAAGCAAACCAAGGGACAAGCAACTAGTTTCTTGAAGGTCACAGAATGACTTGTAATAAAATCAAGGAATCTTGGAATTGAGAAGATGAAACATGTAGTCTCTATTTAGCTGGGGATGGGGCTGGAGGAAGGAGGAACTGCAGAGGATGAAAGAATAGATGAGGAATATTTCCTAGAAGCACATTAAGTCTAGTCTTTCTTTTGAAGAGTCAGGTAGCAAGTCCTTCTCATGTGTGTCACATAAAGCGAATCAGAGCCTAACTACCCATGCTCACCATCAACCGCAGCACAGCCAGAGCCAAACCACAGCTCTCGCTCAGGGTCCACCTCACTGCCTGACACCTCACCAGTAGGCCCCCTCTGTGGCCGGCCCTGTGTTGTCTGGTCAGGGAATTCAGTCATATGGGGGAAGGTAGCTTCCAATATTCACTTCTTTCATTGAAATTAGACACAGTGATACACGTAAAGCACTAACTTTACAGCATGGCTGGTGTGTAGCAAGCAGTCCACAAACACTAGCTATCCATCACTGTTTTTGATAAATTGTGAATGCTATGATTTGACTCACAAGTAGAAATGATAATGAATATTTTCAAAGCTGTAAAAATCTTTTTAGTCGGTCTCAAGTGGCTTGTGGGTTCACACCTCTGACCCTGTCTATAGCTGTGTCCTCCAATACTCTTGGGTAATATGATACTGAAATATTTTAAGCAAGCTGAAATAACTAGCAAAATGATTTTCTCAAGGAAATGGTGATAAAATTGGGCTTTTAAATATATATATATATTACTGCAAATTTTTTTTTAAAAATGTAACATTTTTAAAAAGCTCCAGTTTTTTCAGTCAATACTAATTCTTTCAAGTTTGCTGTACTACCAAACACAAGTCAAGAAATTAAAGAAACCATCAACTATTTAGAAACATTCAGCATCAGAAGCTTTAAAATCTAACTGTATGCAGTAACCCCTCAAAAGCTACAACCTGCATTTTTTCTCTGCAAAGAATCTTATCAGCTGTACAAACATTGTATGGTTTTTATGCTAAAGCTAATACTGAACTACACTTGAACTTGGTTTTGGACGTGCCCTTCCTCCTGAAGGCTGAGACTGGTATAGACCCACCAGTTGAATCCACGCCAAAGAAAGCCACAGCTGAAGGGGCCATGGGTAATGCCCCTCCTGGGATACCCCCAGGTCAGAAGCACACACTGAGGCAGCGGCTTGGCTCCCACTCACCCCTGAAGGCCTTGACTCTCTCCCCAGTTGAGTCAGGAGTACTCATTCGAGCTGCTCCACTCCAGGGAGGCAGACAGCTATGTGTGGGGTCACCATTAACTTCTTCCACATAATCTTCCAACTCAGAAAGGGGTGAGTGCTGCTGCCCTGTTTCCTCTCTTGATTCAGTGCTGCAAGCAATGACTGAACATCTCCCCATGCTGGGCATGTATTTTCAGTGTTTATAAAATGGCCTTCATTTCTGCAGAGTAGGCTAGAGCTAGTCAGTACCTTATACTCAGTAGATGCTCAAATAAATGCCCTCTGGCTGACCCAAAACAGACTGTGAACCTTACTTGTGGTTCTTGGTTTTAGGTCTTGACCCCTTTTAGGTGCTTCTCTGTGAATAGCAAGTCCAAACAGGTAAGAGTCAATAGTGGACTCACTGTTTTTTAATTGTTGAAAAGTATGGCTAGTTTGGGAATGCTTGATTTTCCATAAAGCAACCCAATCAAACAGCAGAGGATAGTTCTCTCTCCTCTCTCCTCCAGATTGTTCCAAATGCCTTTCTACTTCCTGAATTGCAAGCCCCCTTGCTAATATTGATTATGCTTTGTTGAATGATCATCACACTTTTTTTGAATGACTTTCCCAGTCCCAAAGTAATGGAGTCTACTTAATATAGGGTTTTGAAATAAACAGGTTTTATTCTCCATATGGATCTGTTTTAACTATTGAGTCACCAAAAGAGCTTTTAATTGAGAAGAAACACTTTAAAATTTTAGGGAGCTACTAGGATAGACACAACGCTAATAAAATCAGACTTCAAGATCAGATGGGTGTTGACATCATAATTAGAATTTAACAGCTGGGCCCTCCCTGGTGGCGCAGTGGGTTAAAGCGCAGAACTATAAACTACCCTAAGCCACTACAACACAAGTTTGATCTCCAGGCAAGGTGGTGACCCACACAGTGCAGCAGACCTCTCCTGACCCACCCACTGCTCCCCTTAGCAGTATATTTCAGTACATCTGCCTGTTCTGTGCCCCACTTTTTCTCTGATGAATCCTCTCACCCTCTGCACCCCTGGCCTGTACCCCAAGTCTTGTACGCATAAATAAATAAATCTTTTTTAAAAAAGGAATTTAATAGCTGCTGGTCATTGAGCATATTCTATGTGCCATATTCTGGAATAGGAACATTCATACATCAGCTGACTTTTTTTATGAAACTCTTAGGAGATTTATATTACAGTACACGGTAGTAAGAATGGGATATGGGTCAGGCAGTTCTATTTCAAATCCTAGCATCCACCTCCCACTAATTATGTGCCTTGCATTTTTTTACTTCTTCATTTTTTGCTTTAGTTTTCTCATCTATCTTATGGGTAACTGGAAGGCCCTAATGCACAAAGTGCTTAAAATAGAGCCTGATGGATAGTAAAAGCATGGAAAGTGTGAACCGCTATTACTGTTACTCATTTTACATATATATATGTATATATACATACTTATGTATGTATACATACACATATATACCACTTATACATATATATGTGTGTGTGTGTGTGATATATGTAGTCTCACTCACCAACCCTTCATGAGCTAATTTGCTTCATTCACTCAGTCACTCATCCCAGCCCAGGTCTATATCCAAGTCGGAGTATTCTGGGAAGAGAATTTTCTCCTCCTGCAGGCAAAACAACTAGCCTCAATAAATTAGCTCCTTTATGGGGCTGCCTGGGCCAAGAGAGGTGGGGGTCCAGGGTGCTAAATTCACAGATGAAACTGAGGCTGAAGGAGCTTTCATGTCTACAACCATCCTACCCCAGACATTACTGCATCCAACCCCAGCCAACCGCACGTATACGCACCAAAAGAGGTTATGGGTGAGACCAAAAGATGTTATGGATGAGAGGAGTGGAAACTAACTTCTCATTCCCTGTGGTGCTTCCACGTTTTCCTTGAAGTTGGTCCACGTAGCAGAGTTCACTCTACACATGGAAAGAATCTATCAGAGAACATTTGCCAGGTGTACCCCATAAACTTTTTGTTCATGTGGGCAACTTTTAGACAGACTTGAGCTGTCACATGAGTCTATGAATATGCAAGAGCCCAAACGCAATGCAAGAATCCAATCACTTGTCAGAGAACTATGCCAAATAAAATACGGCCAGAAAAGATTAGAAGCCCTTTGTGAGGGTTCCCAGAGTTTATGATGGGGGGTTTGGGGACATGATGTGAATCACATGTGATGGCTTGTGTTTTATTTTTTCACTTTTAACTACAAAGTAAGAAGTAAAAGTATTGTGATTTATGGTTTGAAAGTGAGATCTCAAGGAATGATAGGTTTTTCAGGCTATTCTGTTCTTTCACAGATAATTAAATTTTTACCTTATAGTTGAAAAAGCAAACCTTGGTCATACTGTTGTCTGCATGGATTAGCATTTGGATTAAGAAGATGCCATGAGTCCTAAACTCAGTATAAAATGAAGTCGTTCAAAGATTTGTTGAATGGATGTTGTAAATTTTTATTTACAAAAAGAGTTTTGAAGCAGTAGGAATAGGGTTGAAGTGGGGACACTGAGCATATCCCATAGCTGTGAGCCTGGGAAGATAGGTGTTTTATCTGTTATCAGTTGTTACCTGCTGTCTCTCTAGCACCTAACACAACCTGGCCCACAGCAGGCACTTACTCTGTGGAATGAATGGTTTTCTCTTCTTGCTTAACTTTAAGGAAGATCAACACAAAGCACTTTTTAACTTCATAGAAAATGTGACAGATGACCAACCCCTATGCAGGAAAATAACCAGTAATGTTGATTTTGTTTCACAGATCTCCCTTTACACTTAAATGCTGCCATGTTTGAGGCCAACGGTGGCTGTGGTTATGTTTTAAAACCCCCAGTTCTGTGGGACAAGAATTGTCCCATGTATCAGAAATTCTCTCCCTTGGAAAGAGACCTAGACAACATGGAGCCTGCCGTCTATTCTCTCACTGTAAGTATGGCCCTCTTGGAATAGAGGAGGGTGGTTAAACCTGCCTGAATAGGTGTTAGTTTTGATTCAAGACATTGTAAAGCTGTCATGCCACATGTTACTTAGCGTCTAAATAGTTAGAAATCCCTAGAAGAACTTCTTCACCTCTCTGAAAGCAGTGGCTATGATGTAAAACCAGAGCCCAATAGATGGAGCTCTCAGTCCCGGTCTTCATCTATTGTACCTCTATTTTCCAGGGTCTGAGAATCAGAACTATAAGTGTCTCCCCTAAAGGCTGAGCTCCTTATTACAGCAACTCATCTTAACTCCAACAAGCAATTCTCAAACATGCATCAGTATACAAATGTGTTTAAGTATATTCCATCTTGACAGTTTAACCTTCTTCATTCCTGGACTGTTCCTTGTTCTTTTTATTATCCACTTAAGTAATTGTCAAAACTCCACAGTTCACTCTAACAGTAGAAACGTGTTAGCTCATTACTCAATTTTATTTCCTTGTTCTCTCCCTCTTAACCAACTTCAATGGGGAAAAAAAACACTAGATGGGTGATAGGCAATAAGAACAAAGTTATCTCTGCTATTCATCTTTGGATCTTGTCTGTTCCCCTCCAAAGGAAGAACACCACGCAGCCTGGCTCACCAGGACAGCCCTGCTCACAAATATCCCTGCCATCCAAACTGAGTTTTTTCTTTCCCTAAAACAACAGCCCTGCTTCTGTTTGATCATTTTAGCTATAGTCCAGTACTGTATCTGTTTATAGAAGGTGATGAATTGATTTTTCACAACATTCCCTATAACTAACTCCAAAACTAAACTATTCCAGGAATAGACTTTGAAGTTGTAAAATACACACAAATTTGTGGTCTCAGTGTTCCTTTCTCTCACCTTCGATGCGAAATTAAATTTCACCTTAATTTCTTGGTTTTGGAAGAGATTTGGACATTTTAACAGTTGAAAGATTAATGCTGTTGACCAAATAAGCCTTTCAGAGGACTTCAGTCCTGTGGTCATGATTACAGTCACCCTTTTCTCACAGCTTGTCATCCATCCTATAGCCCCGTGCCCAGTCCACTCCACGTGCTCTTTGTCTCTCTCTCTCTCTAGAGGGCAGTGGTGAAGCACAGAGGTAGCTTTGTTTCTTTTTCATCTTGAGTGACTCTGAGCCTTTTCCTACCCCCTCAGATTGTCTCTGGTCAAAATGTGTGCCCAAGCAACAGCACAGGAAGCCCGTGTATCGAAGTGGACGTCATGGGCATGCCTCTGGACAGCTGTCACTTCCGCACAAAGCCCATCCACAGAAACACTCTGAACCCCATGTGGAATGAGCAGTTTCTCTTCCGGGTGCACTTTGAAGATCTCCTGTTCCTCCGCTTTGCAGTCGTGGAAAACAACAGCTCAGCAGTCACTGCTCAGAGAATTATTCCCCTCAAGGCACTCAGACGAGGTAGACTCTAGCTATCGAAGTGTTAATATTGGGAGTGTGATGCTGGAGGGTTCATCAGACTCTTCTCTCCATATTTGGGTACATTTGAAATCCGCATAGTGAAAAGTTAAAATAGAGGCACAACGAAATCATGCTGCACAAAACACTGTTTAAGCAGCTCTCACAAGACGTTTTTCTCTTACAGTATTCTGAAATATGAGGTTGGGGCACATCCATCATGAAGTCGGGAGTGGAGGTCTCACATTGTTTCCACACACCCTTCACAAACCCCACCCACCATATACCCAATGTTTTGTTTTTTTGAACTGTATCTATTTTTTTTAAAGATTTATTTATTCATTCGTACAGAACTGGGGTACAGGCCAGAGATGCAGAGGGTGAGAGGCTTCACCAGGGACAGAGTTGGGAGCAGAACAGGCAGAACGACGAAGTACACTGCTGAGGGGAGCAGCGGGCGGGTCAGGAGAGATCTGCCACGCCATGTGGATCTCCTCCGGGACAGGCGGGGATCAAACTCATGCGGAAGTGGCTTTAGATTCTCAGTGCTGTGCTTTAACCCACTGCACCACCAGGGAGGGCCTGAACTGTATCTATTTTTAAGTGTTTTTTTTTTTTTCATTGAGTTAACAGTGGTTGACATCAGTTTCCATTATAGAAATGTGGGATCCCCCCAGGACTATTGCCACAGTGTACCCTCCACCACAGACCCCATAGTCCACTACCACAGAGCCTGGTGTTTTAAAGCAGGAAACCCTGAGGGTATTGGTGGAGGTGGTAGTGGTGTGAGCAGGCTGAGGCCACAGTGCTGCCTGGCAGAAATCACGCTGGAAGCTGTTGGGTGTCGGTACGGGGCAGAGAAGACAGAGAAGCTGAGCTAAGGTCAGAGACGCTGGCTTGCTATGGGAGGCTTTGCTGTGGCTCTGTCCACCCCCTACCTGAGTCTGCATTGCTTCTCAATCAGATGTTCTGAAGAGTCCCCAGAGTGACAAAATGCAAGGCTTCCATGACCTGCAGACGGAGAAGGTCTGAGTGGGACTTAAGTTCTACCATTCTAACAGGCTCTGACTTTGAAGGGTACAAGTCTAAGGTCAAAGAGTCAGCACTGGTTTCTTCGGAGGCCTTTCTCCTTAATTCTAGATACTTCCTTCTCACATGTCCTCACATGCTGTGCTTCAGTACTGTCCTAATCTCTTCTTTGCATAGAATACTAGTCATAGTGGGTAAGGGCCCACCCCAGTGACCCATTTTAATTTCTTTACCTCTTTAAAGGTCCTGTCTTCAGATCTAGTCATATTCCAACATCCTGGCAGTTAGACCTTCAACATATGAATTTGGGAAGGATGCAATTGTGTTTATAACGGTTACTATGAGAATATGAGAAAGTATAGAGAAGCAAAATGACTTTGTTTAATTTCCTATCTTTGCAGCACTCCAAAATAATCACTTTTTATGTGTATCTATTTTACAGGCTTTATTTTTGTTCTCCTGGATATATATATGTATATGTACTACAAATAAATATATATTACATATATATATATATTTGCTTGTACTACAGATGGTACATATTCATATAATACCATATTTTCAACAAATGGACTTCCTACTAATCTTAGTGTTTGCAGCTTACTGGTTTTCACTCACTACTATACGTAGTGAGCAATTTTTCCTGTTAATAACGATACATTAAACTTCTACTTGCTGCATAGTATTCCATTTTATACATGCACAAACACACTGTTTAATTACCCCCAGTTGTTAGACTACTTTATCACTTAAGCTGCTCTAAACTGGAAAAATTGTAAAACAGTGACTGTAGATGTCTTGATATAAAAATAATCAGGTTTTTGTATGGTGTTTTGTTTGAGTTTATCTTTCCCTGCTGCATATAAGTTATGAACAAGTTAATTAACTAATGGACAAGTTAACTACCCCTACGTGGCCCAAAGCTGTTCCCAGGGAAGAAAGAACACAAGGGTAATATGGTGATAGGACTTACACCCGAGGGAAAAACCAATTATTGTACAAAAATTAAAAATAATGTAAAAAAGTGAAAAATAAAATAAATGAAATGAAATGTTGGGAAAAAAACTCCGCTGGGACAACATTCACCCAGTGAAAGGCACCTTTTAGTAGCCTTCTCTTTACTGTTTTCTGTCTTAGTGCTACCTACAATATGTTGGCATCACATGAATAACAAGCTCTTCCCAATTCTGTGTCATTCCAGGATATCGACATCTGCAGTTGCGAAACCTCCACAATGAAGTCTTGGAAATCTCCAGTTTATTCATTAACAGCAGAAGGATGGAAGAAAACCCCTCTGGCAGTACAATGCCAGCCTCTTTGGTAATTAAATCCTGTTTCACACAGCATATTTATGGGCATTGTTACACAGGAGTAGCATCCTTGAGGTTCAGGAACGTGGTCAATTAGGATCACTAGTCAGGTAGCTATGTAGATAACAACAATGACTGGTGCTGGCACTTTCTATTTTTTTTTTTTAATTTAAATATATATACATCTTTTACATCATTCTTTATTTTGTACATTTTTTCATCTAGGTTGTCATCCCCATGGACTTCCCACCACCAGTTCACCCTTGTGCCATCACCATAGCCCCATGTGCTTTTCCCGGGTTTTGATCCTGTTCCCCTCTCCACCCCCATAGAATGTCTCTGGTTTATAACTGTTCACACTTTCTAAGCACGTACATAAATACTAACGCAGACCTCTCCTAACTTCACGCAGTTGGATGAGTCCAGCTCCATTTCACAGATGAGAAGGGTGGGAACTAAGTACATCTGAGATCATGTAGCTCTCCACCCAAATTAGTTAAGTGCCAAAGCCCATACTCTTAACAAGCACACTTTAGTGCTTGCCAGCAAAGGGAGCAAAAAACAGCAACGTGCCTGCTAGAAAGCATCACGATACTTAGAAGCGTGGGCTCAGATTAGGAGAGTAGCATTGCTTCTCCAGTGGTCCAGGGACAGATATCACAGGTAAGCAGGCCAAGGTGGGCGGCCAGGCCCTACTGGCTGTACATTACTGGCACCTGGCACACAGGGGAATACAAAATCTGTGCTCTGGGGAATGGGAGAGGAGCGTGGCAACAAGGGTCACAGCTGCAGAATCTGTGTTGTAGCAGGTCCTCCAGGTAAGGCCTGTGCCCGCTGAAATCAGAAAACTAACGGCCCAGCGCTCACCCCGCAATGCTCATTTCCAGCAGTTGTTTGCCTGAACAAGTAACCCTGCGTCTCTCAGCTCTCTGACTCCGTCAGGCTTGCTTTTTAGGAATTAGTTTGAAAGGGTGCCCATCAGTTAAATATATATACATCTTTTACATCATTCCCCCTTGGCAGTCTGTCTGCTGCCATGCTGATGTTGCCCTTTAGCATCTTCTCCTTCAGCATCATCTGACAAGCCTTGGAAAGCACCAGAGGGGCCCACCTGGGCCCTGGCTTCACCACTGTCGCCACTTCCAAATAGCTCTGCTTCTTCTCTTTCCATTACCCTGCGAGTTTCTTATCTGAGGCTGAACTGGTTTTCTTAGATTCTCCCCCTTTGTCCTTTTGATGCCCGGCCAAGGTTGAGAAGAGCACTTGACCTAATGTTTACATCAACCTTGGCACTGTCCTCCTGCGGCTAGTGCTACAAGGTCATGGCTCAGCCCCACAAGTCAGCCCTCAGTTCAGATGCCAATAGCAGACCCCGCTGTCACTGGTGCTTCTGACAGCCAACTTCAAATTCAAGAGGGTCCCCACACTCCCTCCTTAAGTTCACTAATTCACTGGAATGACTCATAGAACTCAGGAAAGGGCTTTACTTGACAACCATTGCTGGTTTATTAGAAAGAATACAATTCAAGCAAGTAGGAGAGGCTCATAGAGTGAGGAACAGGAAAAAGGGGTGCAGAGCCTCCATGCCCTCTCTGGGCACATGACCCTCCCAGCACCAGAAGTTCCCAGAAGTTCCTTTGGACAACTTTGGATGCTTCATTGGATAGGCCCAATTGAATAAATCATTGGCAGCTGGTGACGGCCTCAGCCCCAGCTCCTTTCCCTCCTGGGAGTGCAGAAAGGGCTGAGAATTAACTTCTGCAGTGACACCGGCCTCACTGATGTCCAGGACCCCACCCCACTCCCCTACACTATCTTGGAGGCTGCAGCCATTAGCTGTCTCATCTCAGAAAACACTCGTCACCGCAACACTGGTGGTGGGCAGAGTGTGGAATATACATGTGTAGAGTTTTAAGTCTGAACTCCCAAAGCAGATTCAATGACATAAGCCTACCATCCCTCAACAGAGATATTGGAGGGTTTGGGAATTGAGTCTAAAGAAAGGAGAAAAAGAAAATATTCATCACTATGAAGATCTCAAGAGTTGTGGATGTTTGTCAGGTACAAAGACCAAATCAAATCTTTCTTTTTTGCTATGTCACATTGTGCCACCCTGGGGGTCCCAACCAGCATCGTACCTTCTTGTTAAATATATGTTCTTGCACTTGGGCAGGCATCACCCTCCATGGCTCACGTCAGTAACTAGAGATCAGCCTGGACGTCTCCCTCTCACATTCTCACTTAAGACTTCGTAATTCTCTCTGGGTACCTTTCAAATCCATTCATCTCTGCCTTCCCTGATGCCTGGACCTTCATTCTTTATTATTTGCTATGGCGGTGGGCTCCGAGCTGATCTCTGTTCCTGAGCTTGTTCCTCTCCTACTGCCTTTTAGATGAAGCTATTTAAAACCTAAAACTCATCTTGTCACTCTGTCAAAAGTCTTTCATTGGCTCCTATGACTTTCAGGACAAAGTCCACCCCTGAGTTGGGCACAGACTAGGGAGCAGAAAGCTCCTGGGCCATTTAGAGGGGGAAGCTATCCTACCATCCAGGATTCTAGCCCAGTGCCCTGAAGAGAGATGGAGCTCAGTAGATGTTGGTGAGTGTCAGTTCATAAGTAGGTTCATAAGATTCATTTTGGTATTACCAGTCCTCTAATCATGGAAATAGACTCTGATTTTTAAAATAAATTAATATTTTGGTGGCTTGCTGCTAGTTACCCTCACTAGACTGTTAAGAAGATGTGCTCTTCCCACTTCAACCGCAAAATCAATGCGCCAAGTTAGGAAAGGATTCTCTTCTTTTGCATTGATGTGTCCCTCTGCATATTTCTAAGAACTAGTTTTCTGTTCAGAATATAGCCTAGAAATCACATGTCATGCAGAATGAATAAGCAGTCATACCATCTTCCTTGACAGATGTTTAACACAGAAGAAAGAAAATGTTTGCAGACTCACAGGGTCACGGTGCATGGGGTCCCGGGTCCAGAGCCCTTTACTGTTTTCTGTGTAAACGGAGGCACCAAGGCAAAGCAGCTTCTCCAACAAGTAAGTTGCCAGAGCCTGTGGCTGGGAGACTCCAGCCTCTGACTTATAATGGTGTGTGTGCACGTGTATGCATGTGTGTGTATGTGTTCACACGCATACAGAAATGTACTAAGGTTCATGTTGATGGTCTTCCTTTTTATTCCTGTTATCAACACTGAGGCCACCATACAAATGCTCTGAGGGGCCTTGTTACCTTAACCTGTAGAGGAGAATTTGGAATGATTCTTCAGCTACATAAAAACACTGGGCTCAGGAAGGATAAAGAATAGAAAGAGCTCTCTTCACCCATGGGTACTCTCCCCGGCTAAGCCTGGGCCCCACCTTCCCTCTTAATGCAGAGCACGTCAATCTGAATTTCATATGAGCTGAATGGCCTCTATTTGCTATCCTAGGAGTTGGATCAGATTCTCAGAGCATCAGGATGGACCACATGGGCAAGAAGACTCTTGAACCCCTCCAGGCTAAGGCTTCCATTCGCATGCAGTGTAGCTCCTGTACCCCACCCCTTGACAGTCAATCGTGATGTTTGAGGTCCTCCTACTTTGATGGTGCATGGGGGGCCTTAAACTAAGATGAGAGTCTGTCACCCCAAACCCTGTGTCAGAATTGGCCCAGTCCTTTCTGCTGTACCTCTTCTGCTCTGGATCCCCCAGGGGTCTCAGTGACCTCTGCAGATGGGCACTGCCCCAGGGGAGGACATGTGAGAGTGAAAAAGTGAGAACAGAGCCCCATGCAGGAAGAGAGGATGCTCTGTGAAAGGGCAAGTGTACAGATGTCCTGCCCCGTTCATGGATAGCCAAGACTGGAAACTTTCGTACAGGAAGATATTTTGATAGTGACCACATTCACATGACATTTGTTTCAGTCCATTGTTATTAATGTTATTTTATCATTAGTTATTGTCGTTCATCACTTACTGTGCCTAATTAAACTTTAACATGTGTGATATATAGATCATGTGTAGCCAGGTATGTATGAACGGGAAAAACACACAGTATGGAGTTTTGTACTACCCACTGTTTCAGGTATCTGCTCTGGGTGTCGGGACGTCTCCGACAGATAAGGGGGAGTGCTGTAATTCATCTTCTTTCCTCTCAAGGAGCTCCACCCAGCTGGCACTGCTTGCAGCTTTAAGGATAAAGCTACGTTATCCTTAAGCCATTTTTTAATTCCCTCTCCTCCTTAGGGGAGTGATCCTGAGCTCCCTCCAGAGTTAAGGTATATGGTGAAATGTAGCCGAATCACAGAATGCAAGGGGGAAATTAATCACCCCGGTCAGCCATACAGACTAAACATTACGTAGCTCCATCTTTGGTTATTTTGTCTTTTTAAATCCATCCATCTATGAAGGTCGGTGTCTACTAGCACAAAACTCTGTTGGGGCTTTGAACACTCTCTGATATGTGACAATATAAAGTAAGAAACCATTTCTGTGGACCACCCATAAAAAGCAAATAACATGCACAGATGGGTGTAACGCAGAACTGAGAAGGGAGTGACTCCGGCCCTCTCCCAAGGCTTCAGTGCCAGCCTCAGAGCAGCAGAGGCCTGGTGTCTGGGGCTGCCTGTCACTCCCAGAAAGCCATAAGCAAAGACAGGAATTGAATCTGTAGGAGTTTTCATCCTTCAGATTCTGGCCAGCGATGAGCATCTCACCTCTCATCTCCAGCTGGCCTTCATATAATGGCCTGGACAAGCCATAAGTAAAAGGCCCAGCAGAACAGCCCTTCACAGTTGATGTTCATGGTATTCGTTACATTCAGCCCCAGAACTTATCAGCCTCCCAGTTATCTTGACCCTGGTGCATCCTGGCCTGCTTGGTTACTTTTTGACAGTGTGGATGTGTGGCATCATCAGGATAGGAGTCTGTTTCAAACAAGAGATTAGTTTAAAGAAAACAGATCCTTGGACCTCCCATGAGTACACACAGCCTGCGCTGGGGGTGTGTGCAGATTAGTGCATAGGTCTGGTGTGTCCCCTTCCTCCCTGGCCTGGCAAGCCAGCCGGCTCCTAGAGGCTTCACTTCCCGAATTACACTGTAGTTGTTGCCCGCCCGCAGAGCCATAGCCCAGCATGGATTTAGACCAAAACTGGGGCGAAGGCAGCGCCTCCTGAGACTTCTGCCCCACCATCCTCAGTTCATCTGCTTTTCCTCCCTGCAAGAAAGAGCAGCACCAAGTGCCGACTCTGACAGCTGCCTCTTTGGGGTGGGGGCTAGGAGGCGCCTGAGGAGGAGGCTTGCGTCCCCAGGCCAGGTGGTGGCAGCTGTCCATCATCACCCATTGCGGCTCAGCCTTTCGTTAGCAACCTGTGCTGTATGAATGTGAAAGAACATTTACCAGGGCCAGCAAATATAGTAATGTCTAGTATTTATTAGTTCTCATTATGTGCCTGTGGTTTACAACTGCTGGAGACAGCAGTACCTCCATCTGACCACATACAAAATTAAGAGGTTGTTACTTTCCCATTTTATAGATGGGGAAACTGAGTCTGCAAGGGGCTAAATCTCTTGCCCAACACCTCATATTTTATATGAAAGGCAGATCTCAGACCCAGGTCTGTCTGGCTCCAGGGAGCCCTGTCTCCACCGCTCTGTTTCCCTGCCCAGGGGCAGTAGCCAACTCAGGAAACAAGTCTGTAGACACACTGTCAAGAGTTATTGAAAGGAGAATTCCCAGGCACTTAGATCAGATGAGATTAAAAAATGATTGAGTAGTTCCAACAGAGAAGAGGACGTTATCTTGGTAAAAGCTACTCTAGGTCGTTTGCCCTCCACCCTAGGGCACAAGATCCGAAAGAACTGAATTCGTAGATTAAAAAATCTAAAGTTTTTAATTCAGTAGGAGCTTCATTCCAGCAGTGGGAAAAATAGTTATGCTGTCTGGGGATTTGAATAAATTTTTTCATTGCCCAGAATAGACATAAACAATCCTTTTTGGACATAAGAGAATTCTTAGAGCTCCCAAAAAGAATTATGCAACACTCCGAGTCATTTTAGTGTATAAATTGCACATGGAGCCTGTCATAACACCGTGAAAGGAGACTTGTTTTAAATTAAAGCTTTCACCCACTTCTCAGATGTGTGCCTAAGTTTGCCTTTGCCTTTTATTTTTTTTCAAGATTCTAACCATTGAACAAGACATCAACCCTAGTGCCACCGACTATTTCTTGATGGAAGAAAAACATTTTATATCTAAAGAAAAAAATGAATGTAGGAAACAGCCATTCCAGAGAGTCATCGGTCCTGAAGAAGAGATCACCCAGATCTTAAGCAGCTGGTTTCCAGAAGAGGGATATGTTGGCAGGATTGTTTTAAAAACCCAGCAGGAAGTAAGTGTGTCTGAGAACGGTCTACGCAGTAACAGAACAGAGTATAATTAACCCCCGTAAGCTGGACTTAAAAAATTCAGAATTTCGTATATTTGCAACTTGGTTTATATTGTTCTTAAGTAAATGTGATGTTTTACTCTTCTGCTCTTATTACAAAGGGAGCAAAACTCTATGGGTTCCTTATGTGTATCATTGACCATCAACCTAGTATTTTATTTTTATGTGTGAAAAGACGTGGTTGTGAGATCACAGTATTGTGTAACGCAAGGCCTGTGGGCATTTCACATTTGGGAGTGAGTAGACCTCCTGTTAGCACCTATTAAATTTTTCATTAAAGGTCCTGCACTTATAAGTAAAACAACAGTGTTTATTTGAAAATATTCCATCACTTTGTACTACAAAATAATAGTCTCTTAGTCTTGGTCAGAATTCATAAAAGCAATTATGTTCCCTGGAATGCCCACAGAAGAAACAATACAGTAACTGCATGTTCACCCACAACTGTTGGCTCCCATTGAAGTTTGTTAATGGAGCAACTTTTTTTTAAAGAGTTATTTATTTATGCATACAGGACTGGGGTACAGGCCAGAGGTGCAGGGGCAGTGAGAGGATTCACCAGAGACAGTGTCAGGAACAGAACAGATCTGCCACACCATGTGGATCACCTCCAGATCGGGGATCGAACTCATGATAAAGTGGCTTTGGCTTCTTAGTGCTGTGCTTTAACCTGCTGCGCACCAGGGAAGGCCTGAATATATGTTTTAACAAGGACTGGTATGGTTCCTGATAGTACAGAAATTTGAGGACTGTGGCCTACAGCTACTATTTTTTTCTGGAAACTTTGAAGAGCCCACTAACTTACTGCCATTCTTTAGAATGATATATAAGGTCATTTCACCAATGTAGACAATTGTGCCTGTCATACACAGTCATGATATATCATAATGAAGCAGTTAAGCGGAAGTGGCTTAAGCTTCCCAGTGCAGTGCTTTAACCCGCTGCGCCACCAGGGAGGGCCTGCTCGACCAATTTTCACATCACATACTACTTTTTCACTCTGTGAATTTCACCATGAACCTGGCCAAACAGCCTCTGTACAACCCCAGCATCTCTTCTGGGAACCAGGCCACTGCTTTCCTTCCTAACCTCCCCTTAGAGCATCAAAGGAATCTTCATTTAAGCAAAGAAATGAGGTGGTCTCCCCAGCTTCTGCTCCCTATCAGACATACAAATGGCTACAACAGAAAGCAAGAAGTTCTAATGATAATCACTTCATGAGAAATTATCAGTGGCCTGGTCTTCCCTGGTGGCACAACAGGTTAAAGTACAGCACCGAAAGCGAGAGACAGCCACTTCAGTGTGAGTTCAATCCCCAGCCCCAGAGGTGACCCACATGGCACAGCAGACCTCTCCTGACCCGCCTGCTGCTCCCCTCAGCAGTGTATTTCATTCATCTGCCTGTTCTGCTCTCCACTCTGTCTCTCGTGAATCCTTTCACCTCCCCTGCACGTCTGGCCTGTACCCCAGTTCTGTATGCATAAATAAATAAATTTTAAAAAAAAAGAAAATATCAGTAACCTTAGCTGGACTTTAAGTCATCTTTAACTTCTATCATTTTTTTTTCCTATTTCTAAGTGTCTTGCCTCATTAAATAGCTGCATCTAAAAAAGTATAAAGTGTCAATGATTAAGTAAAATTTTTAAACCATGTATTATACAATGACTTCGAGTGTGGGACTTTCAAATACCTACTGTTTTACATGATCTCATGACATGATGAAAACCTTTTACACATAGAGAAACTGAGGTTCAAAGCAGTTAAATCTTGAGCCAGTGAAGTAGAAAGAGCCCTAGTCTTCAACTTCTAGGTCAGTGTTCTGTGCTGCCAGATCTCCACGGGTCACCCACTCCCAGCACTGCAGGAGGATGTGGGGAGCAGTGAGCATGAGGGAACGAGGGAGCAGTGAGCAGTGAGCATGTCAAGCACCCCAGTGGAACTTCTCCACATGGTTGGGCAGTCAGGAGGCGACAGGTGCCTGTCTGCAACGTAATATGTATGTAATAAGAGGCAGTGGAGACCTGAGAAGGAGAGTTTAATAGAGGCTGGAGGAAGAGAAATATTTTGCATAAAAAGGGTGATAAGTAAGAAGAGGTGAGAAGGCATTTTCTGATGAGTAGACCTTTTCATGCTTCTTACTGGAACAGAAATGAATCTCAAAAGACACCAAATCACATTGAATGTATTTAGGCTGGCCTGGTACATAGTGATGTGCAGTATGTATTTACTAATTGGACAAATGAATTCACATGCTGGAGAACAAGTGGACACTAGCATAGTTAAAGGATTTCAACTATAAGTATTTCCATTAATTTTATCATGTAGAACCAATAAGATATATAAGCAGTTTGCAATTGTATTAAAAGTCCATGAACTGTGACTTTGGATCTTTCCTGCCTGCCTATCATGATTTGATTATCTCCTGGGCTGTCAAGCTGTCAGGGGTCATGTCTTCCTGGGTCACAACACCCTCCTCTGACACCTGCTGGATTTGACATCAGACGAACTTGACTCCACCACAAGTTAGATGACCTTGGACAGTGCACCTGACTGACCTCTTCAACCTCTGTACCCTAATTAGTAAAATCTACACAATGTAAATCACCCCTTCTAGCTCAAAAAGGTCATCCTGAGGGCTGTTGCTACAACCACAACCTGTGGCTTACAATGCAGCTGAACACTCCTTAAAGTACATATAAGCTCTGTTGTCTTGGAGGTGGTAATTTAGGGGGGACAGTACCTGAGAGGAAAATGTATATGTGTGTGTATGGGTGCATGCATATATATGTAAACACACACATATAAAATCTCTGACTGAGGTTCTAAAGAGCAATTTTTTAAATATAATAGTTTATTTTTACATCATTTGATGCATTTTTCCATCTCAGTTGCAATCCCCTTGGGATTCTCATCACCAAATCACCCAAATGCCATCACTATAGTCCAGTGTATTTCCCTCCCCTGCTGTTTTTGATCCCATTCCCCACTCCACCCCCACAAAATGTCTCTGGTATATAGCTGTTCATCATTATTACTTTCTCGCCTGTTCCGTTATATTCCTGCTATGAGAGAAACCATCCATTACTTTTCCTTTTCTTCCTGGCTTATTTCACTAAGCATGATCTTTTCCAGCTCCAACCATATTGCTGCAAACGACATGTGTTTCTTTTTCTTGGTTGCTGAGTAATATTCCATTGTGTATATGTACCACATCTTTTTAATCCAGTCATCCATTTTTGGACATTTGGGCTGTTTCCATGTCTTTCCACTTGTGAATAAAGCAGCAGTAAACATGGGGGTGCAGGTATCTTTTGGGTAGATACGTAGGGGTGGGATTGCTGGGTCCTATGGAAACTCCATGTTTAGCAGTTTGAGGAACCTCCAGTTTTCCATAGTGGTTGTACTAATTTGCATTCCCACCAGCAGTGCAGGAGAGTTCCTTTTTCTCCACATCCTCACCAACTTTTGTTGTTGCTAGTTTTAAGATGTGTCATTCTCACTGGGGTGTGGTGGTATCACACTGTGTTTTTAATTTGCATCTCCTAAGCTTATTACAAGTGAAGTTGAACATTTTTTCATATGCTTGTTGGCCATCTGCATTTCCTCTTTGGAGAAGTGTCTTTATAGCTCTTCTGCCCATTTTTTGATGAACTTGTTTATTTTTGTTGAGTTTCATCAGTTCTCCATATATTTTTGTGATCAAACCTTCTAAAGAGCAATTTTAATAATATTTACTGCATGGTTGTTGAAATTTTAAAGATTTATTTATTCATACAGAACTGGGATACAGGCCAGAGATGCGGAGGGCGAGAGGATTCACCAGAGACAGGATTCACCAGAGACAGAGTGGGGAGCAGAACAGGCAGATTGACGAAGTACACTGCTGAGGGGAGCAGCGGGCAGGTCAGGAGAGGTCTGCCACGCCATGTGGGTCTCCTCTTGGGCAGGCGGGGATCGAACTCATGCATAAGTGGCTTAAGCTTCTCAGTGCTGTGCTTTATCCCGCTGGGCCACCAGGGAGGGCCAGTTGTTGGAATGTTTATGTGACAACTCAGAACTTGAATTTTTATTTTGCTTCTTGATTTTTAGGACTCTATGATTATAAATACATCATGTGAATTATTACCCAACCCCATTCTCCAACTGGTTAGGTAGATACAGGCAATGCAATGCCTGTAGGCAGCAGAATCTCTAGGAATTACCATGAAATTATGACCACAATATTTTCAGTGATGAGAAAAAAACAATTCGTAAAACAGCATAGACAGTAGAGTATAATCTCACTATATGTAGCAAAAATAGACAATAGCTCTCCCCCGGCTATCTATAACAGGTAATTCCGGCCGTGTGTACTGACTGTAACGTGTAGGACTGCAGGATGAATGAAAGGTGGCGCTAGAGCCTGTGCAGAGGTTGGCAGAGCTTAGGAGCCTGTCCTTTCTAGTCCTGGCTGCAGTTTAGCGCCACCTGGTGGCAATTGTACACTCTAACGTCCATCACGGGACAATTTTGGATCCTGTGACAGGTTGGAACTTCCCAGGATAGTAAGAACGATCCTTGGAGTCTGTGGTTGGCTAGCACCATTTCAGTGCCCTGATCCGAGGAGTTTAGGCTAGAAGAGTTCTGAGGACTTTCTTGCCAAATGCCCACTTCCTGACATGGAACAGAGAACAGGAGCCATTTGACAATCACATTATATCTAAATTCACATCATTTCAAGTGTATATTTATTCACATACAAGAAATACTTTTGTCTGCCTATAGAAAATGTTTAGAAGCATATGTAACCTAGCAACAGTGATTTTTTTTAAAGATTTATTTATTTATTCGTACAGAACTGGGGTACAGGCCAGAGATGCGGAAGGTGAGAGGATTCACCAGAGACAGAGGGGAAGCAGAACAGGCAGATCCAACGAAGTACACTGCTGAGGGGAGCAGCGGGCGGGTCAGGAGAGGTCTGCCTCACCATGTGGTCACCTCCAGGGCAGGCGGGGTTCGAACTCATGCGGAAGTGGCTTTAGTTTCTCAGTGCAGTGCTTTAACCCGCTGCGCCACCTGGGAGGGCCAGCAACAGTGATTTTAATGTATGTGGAGAAAAAGGGAGAAAGTGAGAATGGGAAAGTTTGCCTTTGTATTGATTTCTGTATGTTGAAATCTTTCAGTAAGATACATATAGATTTATCGGGCCCTCCCTGGTAGCACAGCGGATTAGGACGCAATATTGAAAGCAAGCCGCAGCTGCTTCAGTACAAGTTCTATCTCTGCCCTGGAGGTGACCCACATGGCACAGCAGACCTCTCCTGACCCGCCCACTGCTCTCCTCAGCAGTGTACTTCGTTGATCTGCCTTTTCTGCTCCCCACTCTGTCTCTGGTGAAGTCTCTCATCACCCCCTGAACCTGTGGCTTGTACTCCAGTTCTGTATGAATAAATAAATCTTTTAAAAAAAAGATACATACAGATTTATTTAAGTACATATGGTATATATTAAACATGTATCTTAAAATCACTGAGAATCATTTAATAAAAAATCCGTTAACCTGGGCTCTCCCTGGTGATGCAATGGGTTAAAGCCCTGCATTATGAAGCTCTCTGAAGCCACTGCAGCACGAGTTCCATCCCCACCAGGGAGCTGACCCACATGGTATGGTAGACCTCTCCTGACCCACCCACTGCTCCCCTTAGCAGTGTACTTCACTGATCTGCCTGTTGGGCTCCCCAATCTGTCTCTTGTGAATACTCTTACCCACCACACCTCTGGCCTGTACCACAGTTCTATAAGCATAAATAAATAAATCTTTCAAAAAAATAAATTAACCTCTTCACCAGTTTTTATAATTTTCAAGAATTTTGTCAATATTTGTTTCAGTGTGACTTACCACTAGCCTTTTCACTGTGGGTTTTTATTTGTCTAGCCAAGCTGAAAGTCACATTCTCACGTGCCACTTTTCAAATGGCATATATTTCTTAAATGCTAAGGCCTGTGTGGGAATTTACCTTGTTTTTACTGGGCTGTGGCAATTCACTGAATGTTGTATCACCTTTTTACTAACTTACCTGCAGCTGATTTGAACACAAAGTCCGTAGCTGATAGGAGCAGATCTGGCTACTTGGGGTCAGACCCTGTCAATCTGTGAACATTAGCTAAAATACCTACCTTGCTTTCTTCCTGTTAGAAGGCATCTATACCCTTTTAGAATAGGTCATGAAATGTTAACCAGTGTTTGAAATAGAAAACTAAGAAATTGTTTCCACGCTACTCAAAATTTTGCTAGATTATTTTCCTATTCTACATTTTACCACTTACCGACATTTCTTCTATTTTAACATAGAACCTTGAAGAGAAATGCATCCTTCAAGATGACAAGGAGGTGATCTTGAGCTCAGAGGTGGAGAGTTTCTTCGTCCAGGTCCACGATGTTTCTCCGGAGCAACCCAGAACCGTCATCAAAGCGCCCCGCGTCAGCACCGCACAGGACGTCATCCAGCAGGTGCGAGCCGGCCCCTCCTCCCCACGGCCCTTGGCTCGGTGTCCACCACTGGGATAAATCAGATGTCAGCTCTTTTTATGAATGAAGTTCTAGAGCAGTAGGAACCTGGAAAGGGAGAATATGCCTCTCAAGTTTCGGACATATTGGTTCATCATGCACCAGTTATCTACCTGGTACCTACTCTGCACCTGGCTCTTTATGAAGCCTCATCATAACAGATTTAGGAGTTGCATCTGCCACCTGGTGATTCAGTGTCCCAGAAATGCCTACCCTGGTGCTAACAATCCTTCCAGTGTCCTTGGGAGGAGCTGCAAGAGGCCCACTTTCCCCCAGCCCCTTCCTCAGGGCCACGCTTCTTTGTAACACGGTTTCAGTAACCTCTATTTCCTTCCTCCAAGGCTAGGTCTGAGGCCTTGGACCAGTTAACAGTGTTGCTCTGGTACTCTTGCTCTCTAAAAATATATGCATAATTAAAGGCCCAGATATTTAGTGTTTGCCCATGGCTGTTTATAAATACTCCCACCACATCTGACTTCACTAGCTCATTCAGTTTTCTCTACCATGTGACTGTGTAGTAAGTTATCACATAGAGAGCATGGACTGAGTATAGCAGTGTTTTCCGCACCCAGTGGTTGCAAAGATTCTCAGGGAATATATGCAAAGGCCTTTGCTTCATACAACGGTAAGCACTATTTAAATGCTATTTGCTATTTACTGTTCTTGCATGATTATTTGGGTAACATCAACCTCGACTTTGAACTCCAAGAGGCTCAGATATGTTTCTTTTATTTACCTCAGTCTTCCCAAACAATAATAACAATAATAAAGTGTCTGGGACACTAAACATTTGATGAGTGAATAAATGCATAAGTGAACAATAATCTTATACTCATTGAAAAGCGGTAACAGAGACAGGTAATGGGACAAGACCCAGAGGCCAGGGATCTGTACTCTTGCTTGAGTTTCATGTCTGTGGGCTTTGGTGCATGCAGAAAGCCAATCAGTTCTTTATTCCACTTGTTATATATGTGCATGCTCTGAATCTGCTCCATCAGCTTATATTTCTTTGTCTGAAAGTGGGGATAAGAAAACCCAAATCATTGACCCTCTCTGGTTGCACAGTGGGTTGGAGCGCTACATTGCAGAGCTGGCTGTGGCTGCTTCAGTGTGAGTTCAATCCCAGCCCTGGAGTGATCCACAGGGCACAGCAGACCTCTCCTGACCCCTGCTGCTCCTCTCAGCAGTGTGCTTCATTGATCTGCCTGTTCTGCTTCTGCCTGTTCTGCTCCCTGCTCTATCTCTGGTGAATCCTCTCACTGCCCCTGCACTGCTGGCCTGTACCCCCCAGTTCTGCATGCATGCATAAAATCTTTAAAAAAAAACAAAAAGAAGAAGAAAACCCAAATCATGGAATGCTGTGAGGCCAAGTGAGGTCATGTGCAACATATATATATGCCAACCACCCCTGTGCCAACATGAAATGAGAAGTGTGAGGACCTGAATGAGCCCCTTCACAGTCTGACATTTGTCCACCTTGAAGTTTCATTTGGGGTGAAAGCATTTGTTTTCCTTTGAAAGCAGCCATGTCTTTATTCATGTGATGATGACTTGCCTTTCAGACCTTATGCAAAGCCAAGTATTCCTATAGCATCCTGAGCAACCCCAACCCAAGTGACTACGTGCTTTTGGAAGAGGTGGTAAAGGACACTACTAACAAGAAGACTTCTGTGCCCAAATCCTCCCAGCGGGTCCTTTTGGATCAGGAGTGTGTGTTTCAAGTCCAAAGCAAGTGGAAAGGTGCGGGGAAATTCATCCTTAAGCTGAAGGAGCAGGTGCAGGTAAAGTTCAAGGTTATCTCATGCTCCTCACAAGTTATTTTGTATTTGTAACTGAATTTGGGAGCTAGAGAAATCTAAGAGAAAGTCCCTGAGTGAAGGAAGTTGGTTGGGAGGAAACATTTGGCTTTTTCTCTGTGTGAAATGTACCTATGTCTGTCGGTAAGCCGTCCTGCCAGCGGAGACTGCAGCCCTCTTTGCCAAAACTCTGCTTACTGAAGAAGGTGGAGGAAAGGTTTCTTCTGATAGGTAATGAAGGGTATTGGCTTTAACCCAACATCAATGGAAGCTTTTTTTTTTTTTTTTTTTTTTTCATTTTTATCACAGGCATCCCGAGAAGACAAAAGAAAAGGCATTTCTTTTGCAAGTGAATTCAAGAAGTTCACCAAGTCAACTAAACAGCCCCGAGGACTCACATCACCCTTGCCAGTCGTGGCTTCAGAAAGTGTACAAAATAAAGAGGAGAAAACCGTGGGCAGCTTCTCCCCCACCGACGAGATGGACTATCGGCAGTGACCCAGGGAAGCAGGTTTTACCCAGGTACAATTTCCGCCTGTTCTGAAATAGAGTCAGCTTAGGCCACCTTGTGAGACCGTGTTTGACAGTATCTTTCCTAAGAGGCGTTTCCCTTGAAGACAAGTAGGAATGGTACCTCAAAATAGGAGCAGAGCTCACAAGAGCAATTCAGCTTCAGCATTTATGATTTTAGATCTCATTTTGTAGATAACTAAACAAAGGCACCAAGAGAACAACCAGCTTGCCCCTAGCTACTACACCAGCTTCATTTTATCAGAATTGAACTGTCCTAATTATTGGTAACTCACATAAACATTTTTGCTAGGCTGCTGTGAATTATCCCAATTTTTCCTTCCTTTGGATTTCTAGTTTTATCTTCTTCTAATTCAGATTTGATTTAGCCTTAACAACCAACTTTTTCTACTTCAGTGTTATATATGTGTGTGTGTGTGTATATATATATATATATATATATATATATATATATACACATGTATATATATAATCTAGGATGTGATGATTTAAAAGAAAGCAAAATAAGCAGTAGTCACCATCTTCAGCCTACAGTAAATTGGGTTGCCAGCCCTATGGCTCGGTATTCACACAGTAAATTTCATTCTATTTTAAAGCAAATTATTTATATGGAACCTGAATGGAAAAGCACATAAGAAACCAAACATAGGTTTCTTCTTTCACTTAGTTTCTAAATAAATGCAAGGAATTTTTCCCTGTGCCATTTTAATTCTAATCTAAAATTGAACAGGAAACCAAAGGCACATTGGGAGCATCGTAACTTAGCGCTTCTCATCCGTCTTATCAGTCAGGAATTTCTCACATAAATTGTGTTCAGTTTGATACCTTTGACAGAGCCAATTTTGATTTATCACAGCCTGAAAGAAGACCCAATGCTTGAAGCCCGTGTTTCTTATTTTAAGGAGCATCTGCTAAAATCAGCAGGGCTGCTACTACACTCCCAGTGCCCTGGCAGAATAGACAGCACCCAAGTCGGGAACCTGCGTCCTCCCGTAGATCTCCACCGCCTGCTCTTCCAACAACCTCAGGTTGTTCAGGAGGCTCGTCAGGAGGAAATTTCTTCCTGCGGGAGCAATCCACACCCCCATCAGCAGCGGGCAGTGAACACAGCCAGCGCAGTGAGGCTCTGGGCGCGCCAGACCTGAAAGGGCTCAGCACCTTTTCTGCTGAGGAGATTCTGGAACTGCAGGAACTTTTTAAAAGTTCTAGGTTCTCTTTTTCTCTGCCTTAGTGTGACTGAGACCATTCGTACTTTCTCCAATAGCCAAAACTTTCCAACTTTTAGAAAATAAGCCTTCCCCAAGGACACTATCAGAATCAAAAAAACTGTCTTCCATAGTGAGATCTTAGCATGAACTAAAGCCCGGGTGTCCAGAACTACAGCACTCGTGATATACTAAAAATCTACTCTGCACATAAGGAGGCCTCAGTCTCAAGGTAACTTTGAGTCCTTAAAATTAGAACTCCACAGAAATTTACCTTTAGAATGGTTGCATAATGAACATTACAAATTGATTATGTTTTAGGAAAGTAAGGCTAGTGATTCAGATGAATGCATTTGAGCCAATCTTCTTATGAAAACAGACATTCCGAATCATGTAGTTGACCTCAGTTTTGCTTAAATTTAGAGCTTCTTTTTAAAAGTAGCTATTGGTGGGTGTATAGGGGTAAATGGCCTATGTGAACGGTGTAATGAGACACAAGACAAAAAGCAAGTAATGAATACAATTAGTTGAAGGAATTCCACCTTTTTAAAAGTTGAACTTCATTTGATTGTGACTTAAAAAAAAAAAAAATCTCTCTAAAGAATGTGGTACTCCCGGGCGGAAATAGCCTCCTATTCCTCCTCCCAGGAACAACAGTAACAGTGTGAGTTTCCCCCACACCCAGCCACCAGCACTGGGGGGTCTCTGTTGGTTGAACAAAGCTAAACCTTTGCTGTACTCTAAATTTTCCCTCTTCTTCCTTTTATAAGGGGATCCCTGGTGGTACAAGGGGTTAGGTCTCAGCATTATAAAGCTATCTGCAGCCACTGCATGAGTTCAGTCCCCAGCCAGAAACTAACCTGGCACAGCAGACCTCTCCTGTCTGCCCCACTGCTCCCCTCAGCAGTGTATTTCAGTAGATCTGCCTGTTCTGCTCCCCACTCTGTCTCTGGCACATCTTCTCACCACCTATCCCTAGTTCTTATATGCAAAAATAAGTTTAAAAAATAAATCTTAAAAAATGAATGCTACTAATAATAAGCCTATGTGTTTAATTTTCCAGGTGAAATTCTTTGACAAGAAATTAAAGTCAAGAATGAATGTGGTAGAAACTATAAATATGATTTCTTTATTTTCATTAGACTTAAACTGGAAATTGATGATTTCTGAACTGAAGCCTTCTTCACAAAATGAAAGCCATGTTGAGGAAAAGCAACATGGCTCAAGGTTAGCTACCAACCAATTCAAGATGAATGAAGCAAGTCCAGGAGATTATCATTATACAAATGTCAGTGGTTGCAAAACTGTTGCCAGGCTTGCCTTAGTTGACTCAGAACCAGGAGCAGAAAACCTCGTCTATGAAGAGCCAGGTAATAACTGTTTGTGACTTCCTGGACCATACATGGCTCTGCTGTGGAACACAAAGCAGCCATAGACAGTGCACGCATGAGTAACCGTGTTCTCATAAAGCCACTCAGACACTGAAATTGAAACATCTAATTTTTGGATCCCATATATTCCCTTGGATTTTTTTGTGTCAGTCGTTTAAAAACTTTTTACGAGCCTTACAAAAACTGATAGCAGTTGCATTTGGCCCGGGGGGGGGGGGGCATAGTTTTCTGGCCCTACTTAGAACTGGGAACAAGAGGCAAGAGGTCTAGCAAGTAGCAAGCTAGTTAGTGATAGTGGTTTTTAGCTGAGAAATGGAAGTTCGGGGGCACTGCAAATGTAAATATGTTCTGTAAGTTTCATTAAAAAATAATTCAATTTACTTTCTATACTGTGTAACATAAAGTACTCCACTTTCGGATTTCTTTTTACATGTAGATGATGTTGGGTTTTTTAAGTTTATTGCTTATATAGTCACAGATTTTATTCCACTTTTGGTTTTCATATAATGAATTTAGAAGATGTATAATTTAATATCTACTGATTTGTGATGTCTAGACAAGGGAACTTAACCATTTTTTAAAAGCAAAAGTAGATTGAGTTGGTGTTTAAATTTATTTATTTTGCAAAGTTTGTACTGACACTGTACCTATATATTTATTATACATCACGTTGATATGGCTTATGGGCTGAAGCATTAGTAGTTCTATTTCACTATTTGAGATGAATGTCCTAAAAAGAAAATGTATGATCTGAATACCCGAAATGGGCCAGAATTTCACGTTAAAAAGCTTCCTTTACCTTGCTTGTTAAATGAAGATCTATTGCTCCAAGTCACACTTGCCACTTAACGTAAATTATTATTAAATCCTTGTTGTATAAAGTGACCATGTAAGTAAAAGGATTCTCTCTATTCTTGGTACATTAAAAGGTACACTACTTTTAAAATGAAATATGTATTCTTCTAAAGTAAAATCCAATTTTTTAATTTGTTGATATTAAAATTTAAGATTTTTCTTCAAATTATAAAACATTAGAAATGCCTACCTTTGCTTTGAAGTTTTTACCAATTAGAAAAATGAATAAAACAACCATCAGGTTCTTAGTATATGCTGAATACAAAAGTGTTTTAAGTTCTTACTAATTCAAAATCTTAAAGCATGAAGAACTACCATTTGCTGTTGACAGAATGCTGGCTATTCCAGTTTGACAAGGTTCATACCATCCTACAGGTCTCTTCTTTATATATGAAATAATCAGTCAATAACAAATATGCAGTGTTGCCCCACTTATTAAAATAGTCCAGAACCAGTACCAAATTTCTGTAAACAAATAGGCATTTCCTCCTCTAGCTTGTGAAAAATGATGTCACGGTCCACCTGACTAGTCAATGAAACTGCTGAGGAATGAGATGAAAAACCACCCTGGTCTCTCTAGAGATGCCACTTGGCTCTCGTGCTGTCTAAGATGGCAGTCCACCAGGGCCTTTACCATAGTTGCTGTGTCAGCAGCACAACATTCAAAGTCTAAAGACTAGATTTTAGCAAGTTGCAACCCCACTTGGTTGTTCATTCCACTTGGGTTAAAGTACAGTCTATTATAGTTGAGTCTTGGGGATTTTAGTAGACATCGCTGAAAATGTAAAGGGTCTACACTATTACAATTCACCAGCACAAAAATATTTTATTCATCAGCACAAAAATATTTACAGCTATCATAATTAAACAGCTATATTAGTATACTAATGTATGAAATTAGTCTGTTATTTAGAATGCATACAAAACAGTCACCCAGACTAAACTTCATAGTTTCCAGATACTGAAAATCTAGACAGTGATCTCTTATCAGTAAAGCTGATATGGAAACAAATCTAAATGTGCAAACTAGGTTTACTACAAGAGTTTGAAGAAAAATATTTCAAGACAGTTAACTGAAACTAAAAACAAAGAATCGAGCATGAATTGTAACTTTTAAATGAGGCCAAACTTAAAAAAAAAAAACAATCTATAGCTGGTGAGAAAGTGCTGGAGTAAAAATCTAGTGTGATGGGTGATGCTAGAAGCAGGTTAATTTATTTGGAACTGATTCTTTTGCAAAATACAAGGTTACAGAGGATGTTAAAGAGTTGAGAATAAGAATAAATCTGTACTATATTACCAGTGTTGTAAATTTCTACCTTTGTAGAAAGTGCCTTCATGAGTGAAACGTCTTTTCTTGTCACCCTTCCAAATACAAATTACTCACATTCTCCAGTTTGCAAGTAAATACAAAATTCAGACACAACAGCAGCTAATGACAGGTGCCTTGTTTTAATCGATTAACAGTTTGTCTTCATTCATCTGGATCGCTTTGGAGACAGTGGAGGCTTATGAATGAAAATGAGTCCTCTTTTTAGACTACATTTTCCCCTTTCTGTTTCCTCCCTCTCTGTTAACTCTGTAGGCTCCTCATATGCTGCCCATACACTCACAAGCTTTATTCAGTCCTAAAAAGTACCAAGAGCTTGCTTACCTGCCTGATAGAATTGGATTAACTCTAAGCCACACATACCACAAGCTGCTCTGGTGCCAGTAGAAAAGCAGGATTTTCCTGGCTGCTCTTTGATCTTATACTTGGAGTAAGAGGCAATCTCATTTACTCTCTAGGTGGCTGCCTCTGACCTCTTTCAGTTCCTTCTCTCACATCAGCAAAAGCAAGAGATAAAGGTGTGAAACCTCCAATAAATTACTGCAAGAAGACCAAACTTGGGTCAATATTGCCTTGACACTGCACTGTTTACAACTGATGTTTTCTGTGGGTTCTATGTAGGAACTTCCTAAAAGCAACCCTTGGCTGATGATTGAAGATTTTGACAAATATTTTTGAAATGTTAAGATTCTGAATACCAAGATATTTATATACATCTCTGAAATCCAAAACATACTGTATTCAAATCTGCCATCAAGCAGGCCTATGAAACCTTCCCTATTTAAGATGACACTTCTCTTTGAAACAACTCGTTCTGACACTGAGTTGGGTAATGTCACATTTTTTAAGTGTTGTGTGAGTAACGTGACTAAATTGCAAGATCATGGAAGGCTCTTACACCCATCTTACCCCCACTTCACTTTTAAGTGCATAGCAAGAGCTAAGCACATAGTAGGTGCTCCATACTTTAGTTAAAATTAAACCTAGGCTGCAGCTTAGTATGGCCTCAAGTCGTATGTGTATGTGTATTGTTAACTATTTAGTTCTGAAAGTGAAACTCATCGATACAAGGCTGTATAAGTGAATGAATAATTAATTTTCATCAAATTCATACAGGATACTCAAATATTAGATGTATAATTTTATGGTCTGACTGTGGTTCTTTTTGTGACAAAAAGATTAAAAGCATACTAGAAGCATGAAACAGCTGATGAATTTCTATTTCAAAACTGATTTTTTTCACCTACTTTCTGTTGCCAAAGTGAAGAATAAATGTATTTGCATGTTTAAAAAATAAATGATTTGTGACATGTATTCGTCACTGTGCTCTTGGAAACAGACCCTTTGGTCATCCATACAACTATTCATAACATTCCTGGACTTTGTTTTCTATCTAAAGGTGGATTAAAAGCCAACTTTATGCTGAATCATATGTTTCTCATTATTGAATAATCAAGCCAAAAAATAAAATCAATCTTAAAAATACTTTTAAAAATCCTGTATAAGTACATGCTGAAAGATTAATGTGCACAGTTAAGCTGGTATCCCCAGAACTGGCTTCTACAACTCTAAAGAAAAAGCTCTGTTTAGTAAACTTCTGTGCATTTTATATAAAAATCTCACATCATAAGAAGAAAAAAAGTTTTTTATTCAAGTATTTACAATAGAGAATATTTATAACTGGTCAGTAAAACATTTACTTCATAGGCCATTCCTAGAATATGGCAATAGCTGCTATATAAAATGCTGCTTTTTAAAAAAAGGAAAATAAAAGCCCTTCAGTGAGTAACTTTTATCTTTAAGATAGAATGGTAAAGTCTGCAACTGATCTTCCCACCTGGGCCCACTCTTCTCCACCTCTCCCCAGAGCTTGCCAGAAAAATAGAAGCTCTCTGAAGGGACACTCAAACTTACTTTCAAAATAGCCATAATGAAAACTCATTCTTTTTTTAAAAGTCATTATGTTACTTCTTGAAGTATGTAATCCAGCAAGAGCAAACAAACCTGTACTCCAATCTCAAGCTATGTTTTCTTTTCTCAAAAATCATCATAAAATAAACTCGATCAAGTGTAGAATTTTTCTCCCATCCCCTTATGGTAATACAATGAAAGTAAGACTCACCTGGCCACATAATTCCTGGTTATAAAGAGTAACAGAACAGTAAAGCGTGGTCTCAGCCTTGATTGCTCTGTGTTCATGAGCATTTTAATCTAGCATTTTAACAAACTCTGTTAAAAGATTTCTTTATACCCAGAAATGCATTTGCCCATACTTCTGGACATCAGGAATCGGAGATCGAGGTGTCAGCAGGATTTGTTTCTTCTGACGCCTTTCTATTTGGCTTCTAGCTAGCTGTCCTCTCTGTGTGTTCACACAGTCTTCTTTCTGTATCTGTGTCAAATTTCTTCTTCTTATAAAGATACATTGGATTGGGGCCCACCATAGTGACCTAATATTAGCTTAATGACTCCTTCAAAGACTGTCCCCACACAGTCTTGAATCCATATTAAAGTCTAATTTCTAAGTTACAGAGTTTAGACTTTAACATGGATTCAAGGCGATGAATTAAACCTCAATTAATTTAATTAATTAAATTTAATTAAATTCCCTCAAAGATTTTTTTTGAACACTAAAACTTTAAATATATATATACTAAGTATATACTAAGTACTAATATATATACTAAGTATATATATTTAAAGTTTAAAAAGGCAATACCATTAGTAATAAAACTTCCAAACATCAGAGGGGTGGCTTTCAATTATTCTTTCTTATCAAGATGGCATTTTCACAACTAGGGCAGAACCCTGTGCTAAGCAAAGGGTAGTTCTTCCTCCTCTGTTAATAATTCTTAGGAATTCTTTCTTGCATAAAAAGAAAAGGTCCTAAGTTAACAATGTATCTGCAAAAACATACAAAGATACAAGAAGGTCCGCTAATGCTTCATTTTTTTTTCTACTGTAAAGATGTTTTCAAATGTTTGGTGAAATCCAGAGGCAGCTCAGTAACAACTTCATTACAATGTCTTTTTACTAGCTGATTTAAATCTTCATCCAAAAATGAATCCCCTTGTAAAACTTTATCCTGGGGAAAAAATATTATAGATATAAGTTAAAAGTTCATATGGGGGTGTTTATTGCTGCTTTATTTACAATTGGAAAAACATGGAAGCAGCCCAGATGCCCAAAAGTAGATGACTGGATTAGAAAGATGTGGTACATATATACAATGGAATATTACTCAGCAACCAAAAAAGAGAAACACATGTCTTTTGCAGCAACTTGGATGGAGCTGGAAAAGATCATGCTTAGTGAGATAAGCCAGAAAGAGAAAGAAAAATACCGGATGGTTTCACTCATAGCAGGAGTATAATGGACCAGGCGAGAAAATAACAAAAATAATGAACAACCATGGACCAGAGACATTCTGTGGGGGTGGAGTGGGGAATGGGACCAAAAACGGGGGGGAGGGAGAAGGGAGGGAAATGCACGGGACTATGGTGGTGGCACAGGGGTGATTTGGTGATGGGAAACCCGTGGGGATTACAATTGAGATGAAAAAAAAAAATGTGCAAAATGATGTAAAAATAAACTTTTTAATAAAAAAAAAAAAAAGTTCATATGGGGGATCCTCCCTGGTGGTGCAGTGGGTTAAAGCACAGCACAAAGAAGCTTAAGCCACTTCCGCATGAGTTTGATCCCCACCTGCCCCGGAGGAGATCCACATGGCGTGGCAGACCTCTCCTGACCCGCCCACTGCTCCCCTCAGCAGTGTATTTCGTTTATCCCCACTCTGTCTCTGGTGAATCCTCTCACCCTCCGCATCTCTGGCCTGTACCACAGTTCTGTACGAATAAGTAAATAAACCTTTAAAAAAAATAAAAGTTCATATGGGCCATAAACAAAAGCCAACCCATAAGCAAACACACAACCAAACCAAAACATGAAACATAATAATGATAGTGCTGGGTCAGGTTTGGAACATATTATGTAGCGAAGCAAACTGTCTCCTATCTATAGAATCCCAATCCCAAATCCACCCTACCATCAACTCCTAAATGTAAAAAAATTGACCTGTAAAATAATTGAGTAACCTGGAGTCAACTATTAATAAATATTAACTTAGTGTTTTGTTATTAACTTAGTTTTCATTTCTACTTTAAGAAAAATAAAAGCATCACATACCTTCTTTTTCAAGTTTAAAGATTCAACAGGAGGGTTGAATGTCATCGCTGCCATACTATACATCTCAAAGAGTTCTACAGCCGACCTGTAATCACACACAGAAGTATGAACACCTTATCTACTGTGATTTTTTAGGTGAATTCCCCCAATATTTAAAGCAACTAATTGAATTTTTGTTCAAACTATGAAGAGACCAGAAAAATCCATCTGCTGGCCTCTGAACTTAAGAAACCAGTGGGCTTGCAAAGGAGAAAGGCTACAAGAAAATACTGAATGGTGGGTATATTTCAAGATCGTCTTTTATGCCATTTTCTCTTCTGTATAACTGAAGTATTTCCAAATTGCTTTGTAGGGTTATTGCTATTTTTTCAGCATTTCTGTTTTTTTTGGGGGGGGGCAAATATGCTTCTGTTAGGAGGCCTCCTCCCCACTCTGGAAGCAAGCCAGGTAAATGCTGGAAGAAGCCACCCAGGCTTCTTATTGGTCAGGGGTGCTGCGCAGAGAGAGCCATGAGGGCCAGAGAGACAGACTGCACCCCTCTGGGTGCGGGGCCCAGTCACTGTTTTCTCTCCTCTCTCCCTTTCTGTCCCTTAAAGGACCAGTTAAAAGAAAAGGGCCATCGGCTGGGGGCGTAAGGTTGTTTTGGGGCTCATGGGTTTTCAAATAAGCAAACGGGGCATGATCTTACTAACTGCTTCAGCCTGTGTGACTAGCACACAAGGATTCACAGTACTATTCTTTTTACTTTATGTGTGGGACATTTTATAATTTTTAATAAAAAAGAGATTACTCCAAACAAGATCAGTTTTCTCTTTAGAGTATTCAGGTCTGAAGTGTGACCAAATTCTGATCATCAACAAGCATGTTACATTTTAAAATTCATTCAAAACAGACTTCTCACAGTAAATCACCATCCACTGCAATGTGAACTTTGATGAGACAGCCCTGCTCAACACTACCTTCGGCTCAACTCCGGCTTGAGTGCTTCAGAGCCTTCCAAAGGAGCGCCAGCCATCAGGTGAGCTGCAAACCTCTGCACTATGGGATGGTAATGTCTCTGAAATAGAAACAGCCAGCCATACTCGTAAAACAAGAACCACACAAAGATTTTCTTTTAGAAACACTAATTCTTAACAAAGATGTGTATGTACTTTATAAGAGGCAGACTCACAGAAAGACTTTAATTTTCCATAGCATTACAACATAAATCTGTTTGATAACCAAACTTCTGATCATGTAGCTTAGTCTTATTTAACAGTATGAAATGAAAAATCAAAATGTGGGATGTCTGGACTCTCCCTGGTGGCACTACAGGTTAAAGCACAGCACTATGAGGCTTTCCACAGCCACTGCAGCACAAGTTCGATACCCAACCAGGGTGCTGACCCACAAGTCTCAGCAGACCTCTCCTGCCTCACCCACTGCTCCCCTCAGCAGTGTATCTCAGTCAATCTGTCTGTTCTGCTCCCCACTCTGTCTCTGGTGAATCCTCTCACCGCCCCTGCACCTCTGGCCTATAACCCAGTTCTTGTATACATAAATAAGTAATTCTTTTTAAAAAAATGTAGGGCATCTTAGGAGTAAACACAGTTAGTCTGCGGCATTTTCTACAGTCTCATTCTATATACTATCCACAGTGCAGGCTCACAGCATAGGTGAAATCTCCTAAAACTGGCTAGGGTTCAATACAAATGTAGCTGATAATAAATTAGTGCTAGCAATAGTAACTACTAGGGGGAACATTTCACAAAATTGATTCACAAAAAGAATCAAAACAAAATAAATAAATTCAGCTACTCTTACCCTCAGTGCATGCAATTCCCAAAGAGCAGTATTCTGAGCATTACAGTATTCGGGTTCATCCAGCTCTGGGAGGAAGACCCCACTTCCCTGAGATTCATTGTCAAGCAACAGATCGGTTTTGGGAAAAGTCTGCAAAATGTCAGATAAAAAGATGGACTCATTAAGTAAATATTTTCAACTTGTACACAGTAAAAAGTATTAAACTCTCACATAATCATTAAAGGTACAAAGCACTTACAGTCTAAACTGTACAGTTACAGAAAGTTGTAAACAACAATGTATATATTCACCACCCCCTTTCCACTAAAAAAAGGCAAGCTGTTGGTGTTTGTGTGATGTACGCATTCATAGGTGAACAAAAGACTGCTGAACTCCCCACCAGACAGTAATAGTAGTCACCTCTAGAAAACTTCCTTTTGTAATTATCTGTGCTGCTTGTTACTTGATTTGCTACAAGTGTAAATTACTCTTACAATTAATATAAATGAGGGGGAAAGGCATGCGTCAAAACACCATTCTTGCACTACGAGAACTTAGTCCTGTTCACCTGTATCATTACTTACATGCATTAATACTCTGTTTGTTGCTAAAATGCCAATGCTTGAATTTGGAAGAACATGTAGAGCAAGGGTGCAGAGGCGCTTAATGAAGGCAAGGGCTCGCTGCTGAGAAACCTGCTTTCTGCGCTTAGTTAGCATGACATCAAGGCATTGGAGAACAGTCTCGACGCCGTCATTGGTAGCGCCTAAAACAGCAGAGAGACTTGTCAGGGCTATTCTCTTTACTTTCTCATTATGAAACTTCACCGAACTCCAGAAAAGCCAAGATGAACTGTCACTCCTATCCCAAATCACGACCTGACCCAGTTAAGTGGTGCTCACTGTTCAAGAGAGGCAGGGGGTCGGGCCACATATCCAGTCAATTCCAGAAGTTCTCTCCCCCCCGAGTCTCAAGTAAGGGTAAAGTCAGACAAGTGGCAACGGCAGGTCAGCATTTTATACATCAACTCCTACTTGTCAGTTCTGGACAATAACTGTGGTTACAACATAGTCTTAAAACATAAATTACTGTTAAAGAGTTATCTAAACATCCATACCTGCATGTAACTTAAACAATGTTTTGTAAAGATGTGTATAGAATTTCATTGGATCGATATTCAGAACATCACCTTGGAAATGACAACAAACATCAATTAGGTATATTATAGTCTCCAAAGGAAAAGCAAATAAAACCTGCTTTTATGTCTCACCTTGCCCAGAAAGAATGTGAAAAGCAGTCTGGACACAGTGAAGACTCTCTTGATAGCTTAAGTCCTTAAAAAAAAAAAAGGCTAAGTAAAAATCTATATATGTATATATAGATATATATATGAATTAAGACTAGTAAGTTACTATTTATCTTAAAAGCAATTCATAAGTAGAGTTACTTACACCAGACTCAATGAGAGTATGTAAAACTACTAATAAATCATCGAAAAACTCCACATTTACAAGGTGAGCAAACCTGGAATCAAACAGAGCCTTGTTAAAAGATAACCAAAGAACAGAAGTCAGGCAGCTAAAAAATAAGATATTCCAGAACAGCATAGGTGACTACCCAAATGAAGTACAATACAGCCATAAAATGAAGTATTGTGAACTTAAAAAAAAGGATCTACACAAGAACAAGTGTCCCATATTAAATCAGTCACCAGGACATTTCTGACACTGAGTAACACGCGCCTTTCCTCTAGCTGCAGCCAGCAGCACGGTTTTGAAAGCTGCTCTGCCAGCAGTGGTCGCCACCAGCCACACCGGGCACTAGGCCCTTGAAAGGGAGCTAGTCCCAGCTGAAATGGCTGCAAGGATAAACACATGCTGAGGACATCTGTGAAGAATGCTAAATATCTCACTCATGTTTAACACTGTTTGTCAAAATAGTTTTTTAGATGAATCACATTCAGCCAAATGTTAAAAGTAATTTCACTTTCTTAACATTTTTAATGTGGCTAATAGAGAATTTTAAAATATTTAGTTCCCTTTATATGGTGAGTGGCACTGTTCCACAAAATACTACCTCAAACATCTGCAGGCAACTACCAGGACAACCATTATTTAGCTGATGCCCCCAAAGGCTCACTGACGTTGACAGACTGGACTAGAGCACCCATGGGCAAGCAGGTAAAGCACCTGTAGAGTCATCTGCCCAAACCATCGAACTGTGATATTGGGTAACTACTCAAGGGCAAAAAAGAAAAGTAGGACCTGAAAGATGAGCCTTATGGACACCTAGAATTTAGTAAGCACAGAGGAGTTAGGGAGAACTGAAAATTAAAAGGCTTGAGAGAAACAAACTAGGCACTGTTATGAACAGTGTCAAGGAAAAACTGCTGACGGGTGAAAAGAGGATGAGACTTGAGAAGGACCCTGAGTGATCACTAGGGGACCCTATTTAAATTTCATGGTACTTCAGTTTACTTTAGAAAGATTCTAAAAGGCTTCAACCTACACAGCCCTTACTTGGCAAGACCTTCTAGAACTGCTGGCAGGAGAGGTGATCTCTGGGCCTTCTTCAGTATTCTGAAGTAGGTTACAAACACAATATTCAAAGTTTCTGTGTGCTGGGAGAAGAAACAGACAAAAAGACTTCAGTCACCTGTTTATCATTCCCCTGAGTTACCATAACTATGACTCTCAAAGCTCAGCCTTCCAACTCTCCACAACACCATCTTAGGAGCACCAACAAAACTGAACGGTGATTTCATAAAACTGACAGTGATCGCGGCCTCCCTGGTGGCCCAGCGCTACCAAGCTACTGCCAGCTACTACAGCACAAGTTCGATCCCCAGCCAGTAGATCCCTGATTTGCATGGCACAGCAGACCTCTCCTGTCACACCCACTGTTCCCCTCAGCAGTGTATTTCAGTCCATCTGCCTGTTCTGCTCCCCGCTCTGTCTCTGATGAATTCTCTTACCTCCCGTACCTCTGGCCTACACCCCAGCTCTTGTATGCACAAATAAATAAAATTTTTTAAAAACTGACAGTGATCACACCATAATTTCTTGCACACCACCTATCTTAGCCCCAAGAAATAAATCAACATTACATAGCAAACTGAAATAAATGTCTAGTTAAAATCACTTGACCAGTTTTTTTAATAAAAAATAGGAGAATAGAAACTGCCTACCAGTTTAAGTTTCTTCTCAGTACTCTCTGAAGCTTCTGCCTCCCGAAGCTCTCGCTCTAATTTCTCTTCTGCTTTCTTCCACTGAAAACAGATGGGAAAAAAAATATGTATCCTCAGAGAAAAAAGCTTCAAACTCATGATACATAAATATTGTAAATCACATACAATGACACCACAGATTATCTATGGATAGAAATATAAGCACAAGGAGGAAAACATGGATAAGCAGCACACACAGACCAAATTCATGACAGTGCCTCTTGGGAGGGAAGGCAGAAGAATAAGATTGGGGAGTAGACAAAGACAGTTCCAATTGTTACTGAGGTTTTCTTTCAAGAAAAAAAAAATGTAACCTATTAATATATTTTTCATTCTTAATAGCAAATATATGGGATATGCTATATTATTCTCTGTATTTTAAACAAAGTTTTCAAGAAAGAAAGAACATGCTGAGCCCCCCCAATTCTTACCATTAATCATGTAAGGGAAACCAGTCATCAATAATGCTTCCTAAACCCATTTACAATGCACAAAACCAGGTACTGTATCTAATTCACTTTCCCCACTTCCTTATGACTATACTGTGATTTTAACTTAAAAATCAAATAAGACAAAAAGAAGTAAGTCAAACCTTTCTCTGCATTCTTGACAGTGTTTTTCTCTTTTCTTTGAAAGTCATGAACTTTTTTGGTTTATTAATGTCCTCAGTATCTTTTTTCAGTTCTACTTCCTTGATTCTTAGGCACAAGAAAGTTTTTAACATCTAATATTGGCAAAAAACACAAACACACAGCTTAATATTTATATTGTCCTAAAAAAACTATAGAGAAAAACAAGCATTTAATAACATCCCCATCATGAAAAAAGCTTTGAAAACATTTTAATCATATCCGACACAGTCTTAACTACCTTTTTGCTAAACATGTTCAGTATTGTGTGTCTATGAGGACACTAGTCTTTGGCTAAATGTATACTATGTCACTTTAATGACATAAAGTGAGATCATAACTTGACATTGGCAACCAGGAATAAAAATAATACAGACCAAAAAAAAAGGTTAGAATCAGTGTGGAAGGAAAGGATATAAGTTAGATACTCCTAAGCTGGCTTTAATTTATCAAACCAGTTTCAGTTTTGTAGCCATATCAATCAACATCCTTTTTCCACAATACAAAATAACTTAAAGACTAGCATTATTCATTTTAAGACAATTTATTTTCCATTAAGCCAACAGGTCTCCAACTTTAACAAGCATCAGCATCATTTAGAAGTTTTGTTAAAGCACAAATGGCTAGTCACATTGCTCCCAGAGTTTGATTCAGAAGGTCCGAAATGGGGCTCCCAAGTTTGTATTTCTAATTCCCAACAAATGCTGGCCCAGAAACCTCAAATTCAAAAACTAATTTGGAAGTTAATGTTTTATGTACCACCAAAACCATTTAAACACAAAGACAAAAGAGGGGCCTCCTTGGTGGCACAGGGGTTAAAGACACAGTGCTATCAAGCTGTCACCAGCCACTGCAGCCTGAGTTCTTCCCCAGCCTGATCCACATGGCACAGCAGACCTCTCCTGACTCACCCGCTGCTCCCCTCAGCAGTGTTATTTCAGTCAATCTGCCTGTTATGTTTCCCACTCTGTCTCTTGTGAATCTTCTCACCCTCCAAACCTCTAGCTTACACCCAGTTCTTATATGCATAAATCTTAAAAAAAAAAAACAAAAAACAAACAGAGACCACCCTGATTTTAAAAAAGAAAGAAATGAAAGGAATTGATGGCAAAGGCAGACTTTGAAATTAGGAAATGAAAGAGTTCAAAATATCAGCCAAATAATCAAGTATTTGACTAAAATGAAATAAAAAATCTAAGACCCAAATAAAATGATAAAACTTCACTTAAGAACATAAAAAAACTTTTAAAAGTAAACAATTAGATAGATGACATTCTTGAAGAGAAAAATAACCAGTTTCATAAATACTTTAATTCTCCCAAATTAATCTATACACTAAATTGGTTCCAATTAGATTCTTTCTATAGGCTATTTTGGGAGGGGTAAGTAAACATTTTGATTCTAACTCCCATCTGGAAAAATATGTATTTATAGTTTAAAATATTATGGAGGAAATAAATGTTCCCTGCCTTTTATCAGTAATGCCCATTTTGTTTAGTATTATCCTACCATATATAGTATAAGTCATACTATACACTGTAGGTATAAGGGTACATTAATTAAAATAGCAAATTACTTGTAGGGAACTAATCAATCAATAGGACAGGTAGGAGTTCAAAATAAAATTTTGTGTAGGAATCTAGTATATAATAAAAACAGCTTTTTTAAATCAGCAGGAAAAGGAACAAGGTACTGGGTAGAATACTGCCCATCCATGTGAAAATGCTTTATGTATTATATGTATATAATCTACACCACCATTACACAAAAAAAATGCCAATTAAAATATTTAAATATAAAAAGTATTTAAAAAAATAATATGGTCAAAATATTCTCTTTCACAATGACTGTAACAGCAAAAAATCTAGACAAGTCAGTTGTCCATCAAGTAGGGGGCTATATACATTCATATAATGGAATACTCTGGCACACATTTAAAAAGAATGGGATAGCCCTGAATATTAAGTGTCCATAATACAGAAAACAGTTCGTAATAGTTTCCAAAGTATAAGCCCATTTTTTACTTTGAAACATAAACAAGCATATATGTCTAAATCTGCAAAGGAAAACATCTAGAAGGATACACACCAAATAAGAGGGATTACATTTGAGAAATTGAGTAATTTTACTTTCCATACCTCTATAAGAAAAAAAGTCCACATTAACAACTGAAAATCAACACTATAATTTAAAAACAATAAAATGTAAAGAAACAAAAGGCTTACCTCTGGCCTAACTTCATAATTTCTGCCCTTCACAAAACCAGAAATCACTTTAATCACACCAAGGGAAGCTTGGCCTAATTTATCTTGTTTAAAGAGTTTTTTAACTGCCTCACAACACATTTCAGATATCTGAAAAATAAAATGTTATAATAAACCAGTGATTCTAAATCTCAGCAGTACTGACGTTTTGAGCCAAATCATTCTTCATTGGGGAGGACTGTCCTATGCATTGTAGGATGCTGAGAGGCTTTCTTGTTCCTGTACATAATACCTTCCACCACTACCATCATGACAATCAGAAATGTTTGACCTCAATACCCTAGAAGGCAAAAAAACCTCTTGTTCAGAACTAAACTACTGTCTAAGGACTCTTCCTACAGAGACAGTGTTTATCAAAGGCTCTCTATTTTAGCAATAAACACTCCACAGGAAATCTGAGATTAAAAAAAAAAAAATCACATCATCTGTCATTTTCTGTTGACAACGGCAACAATTATTTAGAGAAACATACCACTTTTGACATGTCATTCATGAGAGGGACGATCAATACAATGATGTTGTTGTGAAAGTTGAAATGAGGTAGGGCCACCAAGAGTTCACATAGGCTCTTCACAGCCACCTCAGCCAGGCCTTTGTAGGCCTTTAAGGAAAGGACATTACTTTTCTTCAGCTTCCTTTGCTTCCAGTCTAATCAAAAGAAAACAATAGCTACTTTACTCATTAGTTGACACTTCTACTAATTAGCCTTCTTTCACAAAAATCAGTAATATGAAGAACACGAAAACTCAATACACCATGAAAATTCTTTAATTAATTATGTCTATACTTACACACAGTACAAATGTTATGATTCAAAACTGTCTCCTGTCATCCACCTCCTGACTTTAGCAACAATTAGAATAATCTTGACTTTTCATATATTCCTCAAGATGTATTAGAGGACAAGCATCCTCAAGAGTAAAAAAGGGAAGAGGGAGAGAGAGCTGGATATTTTAAAGGAGTCCTTGGGTAGGGCTGTAAGGCTTTCCCACAAATTCTAGCCCATATGTTAAGAAATCTGGGTTCAAATCCTAATTATATAATTTGCTGGGGAATAGGAACAAGTTCCAACTGTGACAGTCTCTCATGTTACAAAACATCAGTTTAAACTTCTTGCTGATACTCTATGGTATCTTTTATCCAGGAGGTCTAGAAGAGATTTAAATTCTCCTTCACATAACTAATTATTTATAGTTATTTCAGTTATTTCTTTCCTAGAAATTTCTACATCTACTCTGTTACCCTTTCACAGCATGTTGTTATGTAACTATGAAAATATGCTATTTTTCCTAGTATAGGTTCAAAACTTCTCTCTCCATCATACAGAGAGATGGGAAAGATAGCATGGAGGAGAGTACCTTTGTTTTAAACTTTCTCATGTATTTAATGTTTCCTTAAACAGATTGTACCTACTGTAACTATTTACTTAAAGTTGACAAGGTTTCATGATGGACAGATGAACAGATAAAATGTGGTATACAGGGCCCTCCCTGGTGGCGCAGCGGGTTAAAGCACTGCACTGAGAAACTAAAGCCACTTCCTCATGAGTTCGATCCCCGCCTGCCCTGGAGGTGACCACATGGCGTGGCAGACCTCTCCTGACCCGCCC